TTATATATAAAAAAATGGATATAAAAATTTATATAAAAAATATATAAAATATTTATATATATATATAAAACACATATATATCTGTTTTATTTGTCCCCCATATTTATTTTTAAGTTGATTGAGATTAAATTTATATACAGTAAAATTCATCATTTGAGGGCAGTTTTATAAGTTCGTACAGGGGACACAGTTGTATGATCACCACCCCAAGAAAGTTATGGAATGTTTTCATTGCCACAGATTCATTTATGGGCAATCCCCTACTCCTTTTTCAGCTTTTGGTAGCCACTGGTCTGATTTATTGCTGGTTGCTGGGTGGTGTTTCATTATGTAAATGTAGCACAATTTGTTTATCTGTTCAGATGATGGACATTTGGATTGTTTCCAGATATCAGTGATTATAAGTAAGCTGCTATAAAGATTTGCATACAGGGCTCTGTGTAGATATGTTTTCCTTTCTCCTGAATAAATAGCTAGGAATGAGATTACAGATTCTTATGGAGAGAAACTATTTTCAGATTCTTATGGAGAGATTACAGATTCTTATGGAGAGAAACTATTTTCGAGAGAGGCTGTACCATTTTACATTCCCACTGGCAATATATTAGAGTTCCAGTTGCTCCAATTCCTTTCCAGCACTTGTTATTTCTCTTTTTTCTTTTAGCTGTTTTAATCTGTTCATAGTGATATTTCATTGTGGTTATAATTTGATGTTGAACTTCTTTTCATATCCTCATTTGCTATCTGAAAAAGTGTTTGGCTTTTTTGGTGAAGTGACAGTTCAGACCTTTTGCCCATTTTACGGGATTGTTTTCTTATTGTATCTTGAAAGTTTTTTTTTATGTATTCTGGATACAAGTTATTTATCAGATATGTAATTTATAAATATTTTCTTCCAAATTTGTGACTTGTTTTTTATTTTCTTTTAAAGTTGGAATTTTTAATTTAATCAATAAAGGTTTGTCACTTGAGCATAAACAGATATCTTCTTTTGAAGATATCTTCAAAAGAAGAATGATGTCTTTTGAAGATTAATTAGGAAGTCTATTTTTTTAATGGTTTGTGCTTTTTTGTTCTATCCAGGGAATCTTTATCTAAGCCAAGGTCTCAAAAGATTTTATTCTATGTTTTATTCCAGATCTCGTTAAAAAATTTGAGTTAATATTTGTATGTGATATAGGAAATGGGCCAGTATTTGCGTTTCTATTGTATATGGATGTCTAGTTGTTCTGGGACTATTGAAAAAACTATTCTTTCTCCATAACAAGGGACTATATATGTGTGGATCTTTTGTAGAGAGCGGGGCTTGGCTTAGTGCGAAGATAAGCACTCACTGGTACACTGTTGTCACCAATAATGTTGTCTGTTGTGACAGACAGTGCTTTTGCTGTGCTGAAGATTCCCAGATGTTGTTGTCAGTCTCCTCCTCCTGGAAGAGTGGGAAATTGCTCAGGTGAAGGCAACACTAAGTCTCTGGAAAATGTGGGATGTTCATTTTTTAAACTTTTTAAACTTCTTTTGTTTCCTAAACCTTATTAAAGGTCTCTGGGCCAAATGTAAAATTCCTTTTCAAGGCCTCCTAGATTATGGCTAATCTTTTTGAATGAGGAGATCATGTTAATATTAGTTATTAATGGCTATCATTATGAACCTAAAAAAGATTTGTGACAATGCATTAATAATTTTGCACTATAACTATTTTTATAAGGAAAACACCCCTACCACTTTACCTTGAGGAAAAAAACTTCGAAATATAATTTTAAAAGTCTGGTTTTTGTAATATGTTAATTTTTTCTACTAATGAAAAATACTGTATAAAAAATATAAAATTTGCCTTAAATTTCTTGGATCAAATAATGAAGTCTGAAGACATTTTTACTGTATTATTTTAGGATTTGATGTCCTATAATTTCTTAAAGGACCAAAATTTGTTGTTGGACAATTCTCTTCAGCTCTGACTGTCTTCCCCACCTGCTGATTGTTCTTCTACTGAGCTTTGTGTGCCTTTTGGAACAAGCACTTGGTTTTCATTGTATCCTTCATTTCAAGGACAGTGGAGGACACACAAAAGGTGCTAATTATGGAGAATAAGGAATAACTTTACAATAATGGTGGCAATAAATGTAGCAATTCTTTCATTAAATACATTGTACTAGCTTTCATTAAACAAATTGAAATAATAATTGTTTATTTACTTACATATGAAAACTAGAATCTTACCTGCAATGTATAGTGCAAATTAACAATCTTTTAAACAACTCTTTAGAAACAAAAATTATCTGCCATATTTAAATAAATGTTTTTTCATTATTTTACATCTTATATATTTGATGACAGTTGCAAACATTGGATGCAGCATGCATGGAACTTTATCTTCCATTTTCTAAAGACATATAAGTAGCTTTATTTTTTCTTGAACATAAACAACAGAGTAAAAAAAAAAATCAAGTTCCTTACATGTTATTTACTCTTCACCAGATTTCTTCCTGATACAGTTATGCTGTTTTAAATGAATCTCAAAGAAACATCTCTTGTGGCATTTTGTCCTTTTCTTTTTTTCTTCATTTAGAAGACATTTTCTAAGAGTCTACTCTGAAGCTTATAGAAATTAGCAAGCCTTCTATGACCTCATTCCCTTGTGGGGAACAAGTAATAGGAACCCCAAATTACCAGTGGCCTTGTCCTAAGAGCCAAACCCTATGGACATTCTTTCTTTATTATCTCAGCCTCCTAGAGGATCTTACATTGTTTATCCGTACTCCTGCCTTCCTCTGACTTCTCTCCTCATGCTTTTCTCATAAGGGTCTGTTTTCTGCAATATGTGGAAGGTTATGGGTTTCCCCTTTTTTCTCTCTACCTTCTTTTTCTACCTTCTTTCTCAGCCATCTTGTCTGCTCTGCTGACCCCAGCTGCTGCTTGTGTATGTATGCTTAACGTCTGATGCGTTTTCACATCTGACCCGGCTACTCCCTTGACTGCCTGTTGACACCTCAACATGAGGCCCCTCACATTCAGGGTGAACTAACTCAACTCATGATTTAGTTCGTATTTCCTTTCATTGTTGTATTGCCATCATCCATCTATCTAGTTACCTTGGCCTTAAATCTGGGAATCATTTTTGCCTCTCCTTTATCTTCCTTTCTCCCCACACCCCATGTAGGGTGTGCCACACAACCGTCTTCTTCCAAACAGTCCTCCTTCACTGCACTTCACCTTCAATTTTTAAAGCTAATTGTTCACCCTTGGAAAACTGAAGTAGAAGTAGATGCAAAGTTATATTTACATTTATCTATTCTGCAGGCATATTTTTAAAATAGGATTTTAGAGACCATAAAACCACATTTGAAATTCAAATATTGCTCCAGCAATCAGACTGCTTTGCCAGTGACCAAAAGAGGCAGCTTTTCATGTGAAATAACACAAAATATAAATGTATATATATATAGTTTATCTGGTGAGAACTGTTATTTCATGATGTAATGCTTTAGGTTCTCACCTCACTTCAGTTACCATGGTTATCAGTAGTTGCTCACTGCAGGTGACCCAGTATCAGGTATTGAGTGAGCATGATTTTGAGGTAAGAACATCCTTGTTCTCATCTTGCAGTCAAGTAGCATCCTTGTTCTAATCTTGTAGCATCCTTATTCTCATCTTGCAGTCAAGGAGTAGTGGTTTGGTGAAAGGACGAATATAGGCAAGAGATCAAAGTCACTAGAGAGATGAGCATAAATAATAACTTTATAAGTATCGCTTAGTGTTTTTTCAGGTTGCTCTCTAGCAACCTTGTGAAGTGGGCAAGAACTGCTGTATATATTTCATGGGTTAAGTACAGGCCTGCCCTGAATTGTTCAGTAAGTGCATCTCCTCTGGCCACCATGGAACTTGTTGCATAAAGTTGCCCTTGTAAAAAGCTGCTCCTTTGCCCACACTCTGGTCTTTCCAGGGCGTCTGCATTTTTAGCTTTCAGCATGGACACAGTGCAAACTGTTTCCTTGCTCCCCTTCATAGGAACGCACTTGGTTTTTATCTCTCCTGGTCTTCAGTGACACAGGCTTTGAGCCTCAGAGTCAGCTGCTGAGCGGGAGATTCTCTACCTTTCTCAGGTCCCTCAGGCTGCTTCAGCATGTTCCAAGATAAATTCCCTGTGCTCAAGACACCCATGCTCAAACTATCCCAAATGACTTTTCAAAATTGGTAACAGTTCCTCTAGTCATTTTTTCATGATGGTGTAACAGAATAAAGGGAGGTAGCAGGGTGGGAAGTAGAAACCAAAAATCAGGGAAGTGTATAAAATTATTGTCAGAGCCAAGACTAGATGTCAGATCTTATGACATACACTTTTCTTTTCCCTTATGCTTTTCACAAATCTGTTTCCTGAATGATTGGTGACTGTTGCGGTTTTAGAATGGGATTCAGCGTGAAAGACGAACGAGGGTTAGCCCAGCAAGCTGCTGTAGTGCAGGCTATAAGGAGAACTATATTAATTCTTGAGCCTGGGTACTGAATGTAGACAGTTGAAATGCAGTGGGAATCACTAGTTGCGTAAACCCCCGTGGTAATTAATAGCTTAGCTTTTGCCTTAACATATAATACAGCAATTGAGTGAAAGGTAGTTAAGACCCAGGTATTTGATGAGTGTGAAATAGTAGGTAGCTGTTGTTTTAATTTGCATTTCCTAATTGTAGGGAATTGAGAATGTTTCCACATGTTTATTGGCTATTTAGGTTTCCATTCTGCAAAGTACCTGTTTATATCTTTTACCTATTTTCCTATTGGATTGTTGAATACTGATTTGTAGGAATTATTTATATAGTCCTGATACTCTATATATTTTATATTTTCCAAGTCTGATTTTCAAACATAGTCTTCATAGTGAAATTTTTTATTCTTAATGAAGTTAATTCGTATTATTTAATGTTTATAATATTAAATTAATTTTATAATTCACTTTTGAGGTTCTGAATTTTTAAGTTAATCTTTTTTTCTTTCTTTCTCTATAGGGTATGAACGTGTTTTCTGATGAAACTGGATTGGAATAATTTTCATTATCTTTGTATATTTATATATATATATTTTTAAATTTTGCATTTGACTTAAAGTGCCATGAGAAAATTTGCATACTGCAAGGTGGTCCTAGCCACCTCCTTGATTTGGGTACTCTTGGATATGTTCCTGCTGCTTTACTTCAGTGAATGCAACAAATGTGATGAAAAAAAGGAGAGAGGACTTCCTGCTGGGGATGGTGAGTGACATTTTATAATACAGCTGTTTTAATCACTATATCACTAGTTTTTACTAATTTAGATAATATAAAATTTTAACTTTTTTTTAGATTAACAAGAGTCCCTAGCTTCCTATAGTAGATATGATGATCATATTTATAGTTCTCCAGGGGGTTCTTCCAACAGTTAAAAGCATTAAAGTATCATGTATAGAATTACTAAACTTGACTTTTATGTACAATATTCAGCATAGTTAATTTCCTACAAGTTACTTAGTTATTTGTTTTACTAAATAACATGGATATCTCATAGTTGGGAGTATCAAATTTTACAGAAGATTAGTCTAACGCCGAAATGCTGAGTGGAGCATGAAAATTGCTTTATAAGGTATCAAAAGAGATTACTCCTGCCCTTCTATCTCAGTCCTAAGGGGAAGACATTTTTATAGAGAGATGTGATCTGGAGAGGTTTTTGTTGTTGTTAATGTTGTGGATAGCTCCAGTTAGCACTTTTAGGAAGAACTTTTGAAAAGATCAGGCAATAGAATAGGGGCTGCAGTGAGATCATTGCAATATGTGGTATGGAAAAGAAAGAACATATACAAATATAAAGGAGGGAGGTAGTAAGTAGTACTGATGTTTTTGGCAGAGGACATTGGAAGATTCAGTTTTAAGCTCCTTTTATTCAACAAATAAATATTGCCCTTTTTAAAAAAATTAACCGTAATGAAAATGACTACATTGCAAGAGTCAGTAATCCAGTTGTTCCAGGCTCTGAACTCTCTGTGATTAGTTATAAAATACATGGCTGTACGGCAGTTCTACTATTTTTGGGAATTATATATAAATAATCACTGTTTCAACATGTTTAAGTATATAGCCACATTTAAACTTTTTGCACTTTTACAATGAGAAAGGACTTTGGTTCCCCAAAATTTACAATAGAAAAAAGATTGATTTGTATTGTTAACTGTACCAACTTAATTGTAATTGTTATATGTGGGCTTATATAACTGTTCTATTTATATCTTCTTGGGAAATCTGCCTAGAATTAGGCTCAGTTGCTCGCACTGAATTCTAATAATACCTAGGCTAATTCCTAACTTAAAATTTCACCTTTTCCATAAGTTTTGATACATTTTTCATCCAAAGGCAGTCCATTATTTTGCGTAATATTTACTTTCTAGTTCTGCTGTTTAGTATCTTTGTTGGGTGACAAAATGTTGCCTCCTTTATCTGTTGCTAGAGCTGTACCCATGCTGTGTTTAAATCAAAGAACAGGTATACCATTCACCAGTCAGAAACTCTAGTATTCTTTTCCCAGATAGAATGGAATAAATTTCCCCTCACCCTATTTTAATTCATTGCCATTTATAATAACTCATGGTGTTCTATCTTAAATGTAAAGGCTTGACAGTGAAAAAGAATAGAATCTGTAGCATGTGAAGATTCACTTGAATGTTTTTTGACTTCTCTATGTGCTGGGCAAGGTACTAGGTGCTGTTGATACACGGTTGAACAAAAAAATAAGACAAAATTCCTCCCTTCAGGGAACTCACAGTCTAATGAAAGAGAAATAACAATAGTAAACACTAGTATAAGAAACATCACTTTAGGAATGTGGACAAGAGTAGAAAGGAAGGAATGCCCTGGGGTGTCTGAGAAGGTACAGTAAGAAATTATGCTCCAGCTGAGTATCAGCTTGAGCAGATGTTTTTTAGGTTTGTTGGGATAGGGGAAGACCTTCCAAGCAAAGGAAAGAAGGATATGCAAGATTAGCAAGTGAGAACAGAGTCGATAAGTGAACAGGAGCACAGGATGAAGCTTGGGAGGTGGCAAAGGCCATGTCACACAAGGCCTTTTATAGCATGCTAGGGATTTTGGACTTCATCTGTAGACAGTGGCATGCTGTTGAAGCATTTTAAACAAGGGAGTAAGGCCTGATTGGACCTGGACTTCTGGAAGAATGCTTTCATGGTCGTGTGACTGGTGGACTGGAAGAGAATGAAGCAGGTAGCAGAGATCAGTGTGAGACTGTTGTGAAAATTTGTAAACAAGCTTGAAACGAACACTAAAATGACACTGGAGGTGGAGAGGAAATGAGTATATACAGAAGTATTTAAGTAGTGGAATTTACATAACCTGGGAGCCATCGAATGTAGGGAATAATAGAAAAAGTCTAAGGTGGCTTTCATGTCTCCATGGTTGGATGGTTGGATGAATTGATGTTCCTCAGAGGAAGAACAGCTTTGATGAAAAGTTGGATGGATGAAGTTGATTGTGGAATCTCTCTCTCTCTCTCTTTTTCATTTTTGACATGGAATGTAGTTCTGTCACCTAGGTTGAGGTGCAATGGTGCAATCTCAGCTCACTCTAATCTCTGCCTCCTAGATTCAAGCATTTCTCCTGCCTCAGCCACTTGAGTAACTGGGATTACAGTCACACACTGCCACACCCAGCTAATTTTTGTATTTTTTGCAGAGATAGGGTTTCACAATGTTGGCCAGGCTGGTCTGGAAATGCTGACCGCAGGTGATCCACCTGCCTTGGCCTCCCAAAGTGCTGGGATTACAGGCGTGAGCAACCACACCCTGACTGAGTTTGGAGTATTTAATTTTGAGGTACTGGTAGAGATGTTCTACAGTAGAGAATGGTGGAGATGGAGAAAATATGTGGTAATTTAAGCCTTGTCTATAAATGAGGCTGTGCACGTTATGTGTAGAATTGAAAGAGACAGACTCCCTATTGGAGAACCCCTCCTGTAGGGTCACTGAAGGAAGAGAAGTCTTCCTAGGAAGTCAGAGTATGATGAAAGCCCCAAGGAGTGGGTCATAGAAGCCTAATCAAGGGTGGTGTTTGCTCAGAGATTTTACCTAAGATGGGGCTTCTCATGACCTTGGCAAGTGTCATTTCAGGGAATGGTCATTGTATTCTGGATTCAATATTCCAGAGAAACAGTAGGAATGTAGCTTATTCTTTAGGAAGCTTCTGCATGAAGGGAAGCATGTAGTATACAGTAGTTACAAGAGAGAAATGGAGCTGAAGTTGGTTTTCTGTGTATTTATTATTATTTATATATGTTGAGGAAGAGGTTTAAACTGTAGGGGAAAGGAGGAATACTTGAAAGAACAAATTCTTAGCAGATGAGACAGCGTGGTATCAAAACGGATTTCTTATATCTTTGAGGAAAAGGATTCTCCTCAAAGAGCATTCTCAGGTTATTATCATTTTGATAGTCACTAATGGCATCGGTTTCAGAGAAAAGGAGTGGGTTTTGTACAAAAGTACGGAGTAAAGGAGTAGTAGTCTGAAAGTAACGGTGTGGAGGTAGGAGATAGCATCATTGCCTCTGGAGGAAAGGAGAACGAATCATTCTCCCAGAAACAGTTGTGAGGTTCATGGACTCTGGAGTGTAAGGTTGGCCAAAAGAAAGAATAGACCCAAAGTCAGGCAAGCAAGTTTTATTACCCTGCTGGGCTGATCCGTAACAATCAGAGGACGTAGCCCCGAGCTTACAAAATGAGGGATTTATATGGAGTGAGAGGGGCATAAGTTTCAGGACTGAGGTAATTTATCTGCTGGTAATAGGCACAGAGATAGTTTGTCAATTTGCAGTAGACTTACAATACATCATTCTGTGACTTTTGTGGTGGCAGTTTTTAAAAAAAGAGAAACCAGGATTTTTTACAGATATGTGTCAAACAGGAATTTGCAAGTATGGATAACAAACATTTGTTTTCCCTGCCCTCCCTCCAGCTGCCCGGATGGCTGTAATCAGGCTTTGCTTAATTGTAGCACGTCTGGCAGCCTTGATGTGACACCGAGGTAGGGGTTCAGGAATGCAGCTGCAGAGCAATCTGGGGGAAGGGGTCAGCTTGTGTGGAAGGGGTTTTCCGAGGCAGCTTGTCCCTAACATGGAGGAGAGCCAGACTTAAGTCTGTAGATGAAGCCTGTGTGTTATGGAGACCAGACAATGGAGAGGCTTTACAATAGCCTAGGGGTGTCAGGGTGTTCAGGAGACAAACTAAGAAGGACGTCCGCAATGGGAGCATGAGAGAAGTGCTGAGCAGTAGGTGGGAGGGGAAGAATACAGCTAAGGGGAGATGATCTTTGAGGCCCATAGTAGTCTTAAAGGGAGAAATCACTGGGGAAGAGCACAGTTGATGCTAATAAGCAACAGTGTGAAAAATCTGCTTTGATATGAAGTTTCAGTGCAGTGGTTGCTGAGAGGTCCTAAGTCTTTTCAGAGCCCAGAGTTATAAGGTTCAGCTAGTGGCAAATTGCATTGGTGCTTTGAAGAGATTTTTTACTAAAGAGGATCAGGGAGAGGGGATGGGTGATGGCACCAAGGATGCCAAGTTTCTTAGTGGAATTAGCATGTACATTCCATGACCTCGAAGTCTCCCTTGATAGGACACATAGGGCCTCCTAGATCTTTGTTTTTTTATGGCATTTGAAAACCGAAAAGCAAAGAAACTAAACAACCAAAACAACAGCAAAAAACATTGAGCAGTATGACATCCAGAGTGACTGTTTCAGTATTGGAAGCACCTAATTTCTGACCGTTCTACTTTACAGCTCTGATTTTGGTGAAATTTAGCAAATTCTATTCTCTATGTTATGAAAAAAGGTTTCCTAGGTTTGAATAGAATGGATTGATTTCCTTTTGATAATGCTATGAAGGCATCTTGTAAGACTGTTATTGATAGCTGTACTTAAGAGTTTTCTAAGATTCTTCTATTGTTACTTGCCTGCCTCAAGGGTTAGTAGTCAGTCTTCCGGTGATTCCAAAGGGGTTTGTTTTTTTCTGAGTAGTTGTCTTATAGGTCTATACTTGTATTTTATACCTGAGGCTGTCTGAAAATAGCAGAATTCTTCTGTTGCTAGAGTTAGATTGGGCTCCCTTGAGAGAATAAGGGTAGTGGGGGTTATGGCCTAAGAATATTTTTACTACTCTTCTGCTTTCCCAAATTAGCTCATTTATTCAATTTATGGATTTGGGTGTTATATAGAGTGTTCAGGATTTTTACAGATGCAGTTTCAAGTAATAATTGATTCTTCATGTCAGTACTACATTTTCAGATCATTAAAACATTAATGATTGAACTTTTCATGTACTTATGCTGCGAATTATTTCAACTGTTAAACATTAGGAAGCCTTGGAGAACATGGTTTATAGAAAAAACTTCCAATGATTAAAAACTTTAAAATATTACTAATAAACGCTATAAGAAACTTTGTGAAAAATTTTTAAGTGTTGGTTTTTATATATGCAGCACAGGTAAATTGAACATGAAACTGGAAATTGACAAAGATGTTGAAGTAGCAGAAAGTTACTTCAGTGAGTTAAGTTATAAATGATATTTTGATGTTTAAAAAATCAGATAATATGCTGCATTTTGTTGCATCTTACATACCTTTGTTTATAGAATATTCTGTATACCACTGTAAAAGTGAAAACATTTCAGTTACCATTGTGAGCCACGTCACAGTGTCAGAGATGTTAAAATATAGGAGGAAACATTTTTAAATAGTGAAATATAGTGCATAAGGACAGCAAAGATGGTTAATGGTATAGTAAGATCAGAAAATCGTTGGGGAGAAATTATTTTAGCCTTTTATTAGTGTATTTACCCCAAAAAGGAGTCTTACAACTTTATACCTCTTTATTCTACTTTCATGAGAGAAACACACATAAGAAATGTGAAAAATACTTTCAAGTGTATTCAAAGGCATGTCATGTGGTTTGTATATGTTAATCTTATTTGGGGGCCATAGTGAACCTGTAGTTTTATTGGTAAATACCTTTTCTAAAACATGATACTTGTCTACAGTGTTATGTAAATGAAACTTAACTGAAGTATATAATAAAATATGTTTGTTATCATATAATACTTTGGAATAACACCTTTGTCCCTCACTTGTCAAAATTGATTTGATTCTTAGAAATGAGCTGCATGTAAAATTTTATACAAATATGTTTTCTTCCATTCATGAAGTGGCATCCAAACTAATTTCAGTTTCTTTCTAAAAATTTTCACAGAACGAACTTTTAATATACGTAGAAGATTGGCAGTAGAGTACATGGAAAGTTAATGCCTACCTTTTTTTTTTTTTTGAGATGGAGTTTTGCTCTGGTTACCCAGGCTGGAGTGCAATGGCACTATCTCGGCTCACCGCAACCTCCGCCTCCTGCATTCAGGCAATTTTCCTGCCTCAGCCTCCTGAGTAGCTGGGATTACAGGCACGCGCCACTATGCCCGGCTAATTTTTTGTATTTTTAGTAGAGATGGGGTTTCACCATGTTGACCAGGATGGTCTCGATCTCTTGACCTCGTGATCCACCCGCCTCGGCCTCCCAAAGTGCTGGGATTACAGGCGTGAGCCACCGCGCCCAGCCACCTACCATTTTTTTTAATTGCTTTCTAATACTGTAAATGCATTAATAATAAAAATATATTCACTAACCACATGCATTTCATACAGGCCCATTTGCCAAGACAATTAGTTTAATAGTCCATTTAATTCTGTAGGATATTGTAATTACTTATTGATAGAGTATTGTGGTAGATTCTCTAAATCGTGCAGTAGACATATAACTTTTGATTAAAGATAATTTTAAATGTGGCTCTGAAATTTCACATGTAACAGTAGGTTACAGTATATAATGCAGGCACTATATTAGATTTTTAGATTATTAGTAAATACCAGGTGTTGAAATTTGCAACATAGTGCATCAGCAAGATTGTATATGCTGTACAGTTTTTGCCTGATTCTTTAAGATCTCAAGACCAACAGTTTCTGGTTATATAGTTTTTTTATGTAATAAACAATTAAGTTTATATTTTGTAGTACTTACAGTAATAATTTCTCCAGTCCTCTTTAATGCTCATCCTCCACCATGGAAATCCTCAAACAGAAACAAAAGTAGAGAGAATAGAAAATTATGGCCAGGCACGGTGGCTCACACCTGTAATCCCAGCACTTTGGGAGGCCGAGGAGGGTGGATCACCTGAAGTCAGGAGTCCAAGACCAGCCTGGGTAACATGGTGAAACCCTGTTTCTACTGCAAATACAAAAATTAGCCGGATATGGCGGTGTGCACCTGTAATCCCCGCTGCTTGAGAGGCTGACGTAGGAGAATTGCTTGAATCTGGGAGGCAACGGTTGCAGTGAGCCAAGATTGTGCCAGTGCACTACAGTATGGGGGACAGAGCAAGACTCTGTCTCAAAAAAAAAAAATTTTTTTTTTTTAACTCTCAGATACCCATCTTCTGGCTTCAGGAGTTGTCTAGTTTTGCGGCATGGTTAACCTCTTTCTGTCTCCCTTCCGCCTGTTTTGTTTGTTGTTGAAGAAGAAATTGAGGTATTTCTCTTTTTCACTTTCCCGCAGTCAGGATTTGCATCCCTTTAATTGTGTGTCATGCCCCTTTGCCCCCTGTATTTCTTGTGAATTAGGTCTAGAGGCTTGATCAGATTGAGGATCTTTTTCCCCCAACAAAAATACAGATGGGTGTATGTATATGTTAATATTTTTCATTTAAAAACTGGGCAGCACGAAAATGTTTCTATTTTGATTATAAAGCATCATTTTATACTAAAATAGGGAACGAGTAACAGGAGGATATTTATAATCAGGGCCACTAGATGTCTCCCACCTACTCTTTCTTATCTGTGCCATCCACAAAAGATCTTTGTCACTTTGAGAATTCTGCTCCTTCCTTTTGACCCCTGATGTACCAGTCCCAAAATCTGTTGAATTTTTTTTATTTTCAGAGACTGATAAGTAGAAATCACTCTATGAGTTTTACAATTTATGACTTTTAAAGCTTTAAAGGCTTATTTTATATGGAACATTATACTTCTGTACTTGTATTATAGTTTTTATTATACTTGTTGATAATTTTTGTCATTGAGAATTAAAAAAAATTCTACCAACCCTTATATTTAAGGAACTTACTTACTGCGCAAACATTAGGCAGGACTTGTTTTTAAAAACTGTGTTACTTGAGTTTCCTATAACTTTAATTTTCTACTATTTTAATGTTTTTTATAAAATCACAGTTTATTCTGAAAGCAGGGAAAACTAATGCACGCTGTTTTTTTCTTCATCATTCTCTAAAATCGATTTTTAAATTCCGGACATGATTGAGAACACAATGAATAGTTTCATATCCTGCAACTCTCTGGTATTGGTAGGCGGCTCTGTACCACTGTCTGAATTAATCACTCTAAAGTCAGCTTTACCAGCTAGTCCTGTTTTTGCACAGATGAAGCCTGACTGAAGAGAGGTGGCTTTTCTGCTGCCTTGATATCACTATTTTTGTTTAGAGAGGTTTTGAGGATTCCTAAAAACAATCTACAAGAGAATAAAACTTTAGATTTTAAAAATAAATAATGCATAAAATATATTTTCATCCCATTTTTGACCTCACCTCATTCTTTAGCCATCCCTTTTAGATGAGAAGTTTAACACAGCATCTTCCAAATTTAATGTATCCCAGAAGCTGTTTTTCATAGACATTTATTAACATCTCAAAAGCATATCATAAGGAACAAAGTTTGGGAAGTACTGCAGTCACATTGGTCTTTTTATGTCTGTATCAAGAGATAGCATTACTTTTGATTAGAATTCTCATTCTAGTGGGAGGGGTACATAAGACAGGTTTGACAGTTATTGTAATGAGAGATAGCAATTGGTTAGAGACATAGGGAACCCTGGATGAAATAATACGATAAACAAGAGTAGTAAGTAACCACTGTAGAGAGACTCAGAAGAGCTACAGGCAAGAGAAGCTATTTTAGTTGGGCATGGAAAGCTAAATAGGGATTTGGTGTTGCACAGATGGAAATGGATAGGGGTTGTGAGCAAAGGCATGGAAGCAGGAGAATGTGAGGCATGTTGGAAGGAAGGCTGCCAGTCAGACGGTGGGTAACTGGAAGATGAAGTACTGTGGGGTAGGAGAAGAAGGCCAGCAAGTGATAAGTTTGGAAAACTAGGCTCAATTACACCTTATAGAAGTTGGACTCTAGGAGGCTATAGGAATATTTACAGTGAAGGCTGAACTTTAGGGAGGTCAGTGTGGCAGTTTTTGAGATGGAAGCCAACACCATGCAGTGACTCAGGTAAGTGGGGCAAGGTCAGGAAGTCTTGAGTCAGGATACTGGTATGGAGGAGGAGGACAAGACAGCCCCTTGGAAGGGCTAACAGCCTGGGAGAGGGTAGGCTCAGAAAGGGGTCTGCTTGAGGGCACAGTTCAAACACAAATGTTATTAAACAGAATGATGAATCAATCAATTGCTATGAAATTAATGTTAAGTTTCTTCCTATTCTTAGTTCTAGAGCCAGTACAAAAGCCTCATGAAGGTCCTGGAGAAATGGGGAAACCAGTCGTCATTCCTAAAGAGGATCAAGAAAAGATGAAAGAGATGTTTAAAATCAATCAGTTCAATTTAATGGCAAGTGAGATGATTGCACTCAACAGATCTTTACCAGATGTTAGGTTAGAAGGGTAAGTACTTAGTGTAGTCCTGAAAGTATGTGAATGAAAAGTATGTTCTGAATTTTCGGTATATTGCACTTCAGTGCTGATTGTTCTTAAGGCAAATGTTATATCACTATGTTACTACTTACCCCACTTAGAAGATAATTAAATGCTGACAGAAATAATACCTCAAGCTTCTACTGATTATTAGCACTGTGTATTTCAGGCATTGGAAGATAATCATTTATCTTAATGGATTAGTAAGGGATTTTTAAACTTTATTATTACCAAAATATTCACATACTCAACTTTTTACATTTAAGTTGTGTGTAACTTGAAACAGTAAAATACACAGTCCTAAGTGTACAGCTCACTGAAATTTGCTACGTATATACCTGTGTAACCATCAGCGAAATAAAGACATAGAATGAGCCCATCACCCCTGAAGTCCTTTATGTTTTTTGTAGTCAGTACTTCTATCCCCAGAAGTAGCCATTGTACTGACCTCTTTTAACAGCCTTTGTATTGACCTCTTGTCTCTTTTTGAACTTTTTATAGTGGATCCCCACCATTTTTTGTGTCTTTGAGATTCCTATTTTTATATATATCAGAAGTTTATTCTTTTCTACTGCAGTATGGTGGTTTGTAATATGAATATGCCATCATTTATTTATATATTGATAGACCTTTGGATTATTTCTACTTTTTGACCACTATAAATAAAGCTATTGGAACATTCATGTTCATGTCTTTTGGAATACTTAAGAGCCCATTACTATTTGCTGTGTACTAGAGAAAGGAATAGGTTATGCATTTATATAGCATTAGCATGGGCTACCAAACATTTTCTAAAATGTTTATACCAATTTACACTCCTGTCAGCAATATATTAATAAGATGTCTAGTTGCTTCATAATAAGATGGTAATACAAGGTACTAGAGTACAATAGGCCCACTTAAAAGCAAGCAAACTGTACGGAAAATAGGTAGAGTATGTGAACCATGTGCATTCTGTGCTGAGGACCCCTAGACTCCTTGCTCCTTGCTTGATGCCGGCAGCCAAGCTTACCTCCTCTAGACAGGAAGATCTTTCTTATCAGAACTGGATAGTCCTAGAGAGAAGGGTAAGTACCTAGTGTGGTCCTGATAGTATGTGAAAAAGTATGTTCTAAATTTCCAACAAATTGCACTTTAGTGCTGATTGACTTGGGGAAAGTTTCCAACTTAATGGTACAGCCTGACCACCCTTATGGAAAGTCATAGTTAATGAGTCCTTCTCATGTGTTTAGGCGTCATATTCAGCCTCTTGGTCTTCCGTTCTTAATAACAGGTAGCTAAGCAAGGAATACTAGACATCTCAGGAAACCCTCAACAAACAGAGAAAAGCAACTTTGAGGAAACAAAAATATTAAGCTAGAACACATAAAAAGAAATAACAACCTCAACAAAGTAGAGAATATATTACAACCATAAAACAAGAATAGGATACTAGTCAAAAGATATACTGAGACAACCAGAAAGAGCTTTTGAAAATCTTTTTTAAAAAATACACCAAAGAGATGGACAACAGTAAAATTATATGAACATTGAAATGACAATCAGGAGATTCTATATTTTAATAGTAGGAGACTCAAAAAGAATTTTTAAAAAAAGGGGAAGAGAAAATTTATCCACAAAATTTTCTGAAATGCACAAATTTTCAAATTCTAAAACCCCACCAACTTTTTGGGACAATAGATAAAAATAGACTACACTCCAAGAAATTGCAACTTTCAGAACACTGAGGATTTCCACCCTTGAGGGAAAAAAGAAAACCTTTTACAGGTTTCTTAAGAGGCAAAAGCAGGTCATAATCAAAGGATTATTAATCAGAATGCCTTCAGACTTCTCAGCAGCAACTCTAGAAACAAAGGAGCAAAATTCTAAAAGAAAATAATTTCCAATCTAAACTGTTATATCCAGCCAAACTTGCAGTAAAGTGTACAGGTTAAATAAGGATATTTTTGGACTTCCAAGATCTCAAAACATTGAATTGCCAAGTGTCCATTCTCAGGAAGTTACTAGAGATAGTACACCACCATTTAAAACCAAGGACAAGAAAGACATAGAGTGTAAAATACAGAAGATGCAGCTTGTGTGAGAAATGGTGAGAATGACCAGAAGATGATGAAGGGAGAGCCTGAGTAAGAGTTGCACAGGCACAGAGGCAACCAGCCCATATGGCAGCCAGTGAGAAAATTCCAGAAGAGACTTCGAGAAGATGCCATTGAAGTTACACCTGATACAGCTGAATGTCTAGAATAGATTTAGACAATTGATGGGAAGTTTGGGATTGAAATACATAGAAAACCATAGTAAGAAAAAAATTAAATGAGCGTTATCTCCAGGGAAAACTTAAAAAAAAATGTTCAGAGAAAACAAAAGTAATCATAGTTTACTACTACACAGCTTAGCCATGAATAAGTCATGATGTTAACTGTTGAATATTGTGCATGTAAAAATTAAACCAAGGAGATGAAATATATCTCTCTATCCAGAAAGTGGAGATCAGTCAAGAGAAGCTTAATTTGTAATCTTAGATATTTCACAAATTATTTGCTTTCCTGAACAATTTAAACATTGTCGAAGAAAACTGTAGACTCTCCACAGTCAAGAGTTAAAATGATGCCTGTGTTATAAACAACCTTATACTTACTTCAGGAGCCTCAACTATTATTGTTTCTGGTAGAATTGTCTTTGTAATTTTAATAACTCCCCTAAGTACATCAACACTCTCAACACATTTTATTAAACATTTATGTCTTTTTGTCTCTTACATGGTTTTTGAAGATTCTTTTATTGAGTAGCTTTTAAGTACATTGTATGTCACCAGTTTTTGGACATTGAACAGCTTTATGATATTAGGAGCAGTGTTTAAATGGAGTGATACAAATGCTTGTGCACCAAGTTTCACACTTGATGAAGACTCCTCAGACTTGACAAAGTCCACCTTTGTGAAAGCTGCCAGTACACAGTCCTTCTGGTCGCTGGACCTCTGTGAGACTAGGCTGCCTAGGAGGTAGCACAGAGTCATTATTACCACTGAGTAGCCTTTTTATGTCTTCACTCCATCTCTTGATTGATACCCTTTTAAAAAAAAGTTTTAGAAGACTTTTTACTATGGAAAATTTCCAATGTGTACAAAAATAGAGATAATAATGTAATGAACCCTCATATATTTACCACCCAGCTTCAACAATTCCTAGCAGTTTTGTCTTATGAAGTCTTAGACCCTCTGAGATGTCCCCAACAATCTTTGCCTCCTGGTATTCATACCTCTTTGTAGTCTCTTTTCCAAGTTATACTAAGATTGGTCTGTTTGAGCAGTAGAACATGGCGCAAGTAAAATTGGGTGTCTCTCAATATTATGTTATTAAATACACTGTGGCTTCCATGTTGGTCTTTTACTCTTGCTGGGATCAACCACTTTTGACCTATGAAAATGACAGTTTTCATAAAGTTTGACCTAATAAATCTTGCTTTCTGTTAGTATCTTTTTCATTTTTTTCTTCCTTTCCTGCTTTCTAATTGATACAGTTTCAACTGGTAAAGTTTGAGTATTCATGTTTTTCTCTTGGTTTGGAAGCCGTATACTTTTTTCCTTTAGTAGTAAGACCTGGGTATATTGTAATTGTCAAGGTGTGGATTTATCTTTATGTATCTACATGTTCAGTGCACATAGTGTACTTTTGATGTGAGCATTGATATTATTATTCAATTGTGGAACATTTCCTAGCTGCAGTCTCAAATACTGCTGCTTCACTATTTCTTCCAGTCTGTTCTTTTGGAGCTGCTTATATTCATATGCTATAGCCTCTCAATCTATACTCTTATCTTTTCTGTTTGTTCCTTTTCAAATTGTCTCAGGATAAATTTCCCATTAATATCTTGGTAGTGGCAGAGTCCAAGTCTGGCTCTGCCTTTTACTGGCTATGTGGTTTAGGACAAGTTGCCTGACTTTTCTATGCCTCCCGTCCTTATCTCTGAGATAAGGAGAATTACAAGGGTGATTATGAGGATTTGTAAAGTGCTTTGCACACGTACTGCAATCTAAGATACAGAGACGGCCTCTGTTCAAGGAGTGAGCTGCAAGTCCCTGTTTGATTCACTTTTTTTTTCCCTTTTACTATTCATCGCCTGACTTCCCAAGTGGATTCACAATGAAGTGCCAAGTGGTAAATATTAGATAGTGTTTTCTTATGCCGCAACTGTGCTGGACAGAGGTACTCAGATGCTTCCCATTCCTGTTCCCCAAGGTGGAGGAAGAATGGTATGGTATGGCCTCTAGAGTGCAGCTTCTTCACTACCTTTTGGAATCCAGAGAAGCCTTGCCTATGTTCTAAGACATGGGCTTAACTGGTGTGTAGGTGGCAGTGTCCAGATCATCCTGTCTGCCAATAACTTCTGCTGCCTTGTACAGTCTCCAAGGGCACGTTTCCTTAAGGAAACTAGAGGGAAGAATGCCATTATTACACTATTTAGAAGAGTTAAATAGAAGTAACAGTCCCTGAATAACTTTTCTAATGTGTGATCTTAGGGAAGAAGGTATAAGACAGATTCCAAATCATCTAGTAAGCCAAATCCATCCTATACAGTCTTAGATATTTAAAAAGTAATTTTAATAGCATTTATTGAATGTTTTATTATATACCAGTATTATACATACTGTCATATTCAAACAGTTGTGCAAAGTAGTAGTAATGTGCTCAGTTTACAAATGGAGGTACTTGGACTTAGGGAAATTAAATGATTTGTCCAAAGTATATATAGTTAGTAAGTGACCCAAGTGAAACTTGAACCCAGGTTTCAAGGACAAAATAATGTGCTCTTAATCACTGTGCTTTACATTTACTTTATGGTTAGACCATAGTTGATCTTCTAGGAATGAGAGTATACAGAGGAGAAATTTTGTAACATTGCCAAACACTGCCTGGCAGGTAGCCAGACATCTTATGAAGTATTGAGTTGTCATTGATAAATGCTAGTGACTGATGAAATATAATGGGAGAAAAAGAATATGTTGAAAATTATAGCTTTCACGGACATGGAGAAGAGCATTGGATTATATATGCATTGTCACCTTAATTGGAAATTTCTTTTATTGGCTCTGGTTTCATACTGTAGTTTTTGACATATATATGGATGATCGATGAGTGGTACAAGTTTTATCATAAGTTGTGGACTCAACTTGTAGTTCTAATAAGCTACTTACTAGCTGCTATCATGAGCAGTCTACTTTATTTCTTTAAGTCTTGGTTTTCTCGTCTATAAAATTGGGAGAGTAATACCTCTGTCTTAGGGTTGTTATAAGCATACATGGGGTAATATATTTAAACCTCTTAATGCAGTTTCAGGAATTTAATAAAAAGTCAGCAGGACCTTTTCAGGCCAGTATCCTGAGATAGGATAAATAGAATAGGACTGAAATAGGATAAATAGAATAGGACTTTTTTTAGAGACAGGGTCTCACTTTGTTGCCTAGGCTGGTCTTAAACGCCCGGGCTCAATTGATTCTCCTGCCTCAGCCTCGCAAAGTGCTGGGATTGCAGACATGAGTCACTATATCCAACCAGAGTAGGACTATAACAATTGAAAAATATTAGTAATAGTAAATACCAGGTGACTTGTGTAGTTCTGTATTTCTGAATTGTTAGGTACAGTTATGTGTTACTTAATGTCTGGGGTATCTTCTGAGAAATAGGTTGTTAGACAATTTTGTCATTGTGTAAACATTAGAGTGTACTTACACAAATCTGGATGGTACAGCCTACTACACACTTAGGCTATATGGTATAGCCTATTATTCCCAGTCTGTAAACCTGCATAGTATATTTCTGTACTAAATATTGTAGGCAGTTATAGTATAATAGTGTTGGTGTATCTAAACATAGAAAAGGTACAGTATAAATATCCTATAAAAGATGAAAAATGGTATATCTGTATGGGGCACTTACCATGAATGGAGCTTGCAGAAGTGGAACTTGCTCTAGGTGAGTGAATGAGTGCTGAGTGAAGGCCTAAGACATGACTGTGTACACTACTGTAGACTCAACACTGTACACTTAGGCTCTACTAAATATATTTTGCAGATCAAGTAATTATGCTAGTATGTTGATGGTGGTAACAGTGACACTAGGCAATAGGTATTTTTCCACTCCATTATGATGATACGGGACTACCATCATATATGTGGTCCGTTGTGGTGGGGGTACTATTGAAGCTCAGCAGGGTGAATGCCCTGGGTATCCACCACATTCTACTGGCAACCACACAGTTCAGTATGAGGGAGAGGAAAACAAATGGAAGTACACTGGAACCAGGGAGAGAAGTTTCTTCCTCCTTTGTTGTCCCTCCAGCACCTTCTGCTGACAGAGCTATGCATGTGTCATGTGTACTGCAAAGGATAAATGCTTATAGGGGCCAGTTCCATTATCACAGTGCAGGTAATGAAAGGTGTATTTGGAACTAAGAGGCAATAAATGGTAGATGGGGACACTACATGACAATGATGAGTCATCTCCAGGAGCTAATGTATTATGTGTTTGTGGATGCTTGTATTTTTAAAATTCTTGTTTTAATTTGTAAGATGGTAAACATTAATAGCCATAACCCACATAAACAAAAGCTCTTTGGGGTCCTCAACATCTAAATGTGTAAAGGGACTATAAATCAAAAAGTTTGAGAACTATTGTTTCACAGTATTCCCTTTAAGTAAAGTTCAAAAAATCAGGCAAAGCTCATCAGTAGTACTAGAAGTCTTGTAGAGTGGTTACGTTAAACAGGGACACAAAGGAAGTCCCTGGGGTATTGGTCATGGTCTGTTTCTTCATCTGAGTGCTGACTACTTGATGCTTTCTGTGGAAATCCATTCAGCTGTACACTTAGATTTGTAACTTTTTGTATGTATATATTTCAATAGAAAGTAAAAACTGTATTCTCTCTTCCTAACTTGTACCTTGCTGTTAAACCTGTATGTAACTTTTAATCCCAGCACTTTGGGAGGCCGAGGCAGGTGGATCACGAGGTCAAGAGATCGAGACCATCCTGGTCAACATGGTGAAACCCCGTCTCTACTAAAAATACAAAAAAGTAGCCGGGCATAGTGGCGCGTGCCTGTAATCCCAGCTACTCAGGAGGCTGAGGCAGGAGAATTGCCTGAACCCAGGAGGCGGAGGTTGCGGTGAGCCGAGATCGCGCCATTGCACTCCAGCCTGGGTAAACAAGAGCGAAACTTCGTCTCAAGAAAAAAAAAAGAAAGAAAAAAAAAAGAAATTAGCATAAACTTATAGCAGCTAGTTTTCATAACTGAGGATAAAAGTCTCAATTAGGCCACTGTGGAAGAAACCTTCCTCCTGAACGTGGCCTGTGGCCTTTCAGCTCATCTTCAGCTCTGTGTTCTGTGAACCCATCCCAACCCCAAAATGCACAAGGACAGGTGGTTTCTTGATTGGAAAAGCTTAGCAAGAATGTTAAAGGCTGTTCGGTTCTTCTCGAGTTCCTTGTGGCTCTTCCAGGTTAAGGATGTGTGTTTATGTGTGGTTGTTTAATAATTTCTCATTTGCTTTGAGAGAATATTATCTTTCATGAATTTTTTATGGTCACTGATTAGCCGTTTGATTTAGAAAATTTTCTTTTTATCATCTGTTCTTCTGGATCCTAATAGTCCTCTCTCTAATTCTTCCATCTAGTTTCTTTCTAGTGTTCTTATAATCTTACTTTCCATACAGTTTTAGAATTTTATTCTTTAACATATTATACAAGAAGTAAATACAGGTTATCACTTCTCTTCTGCAGAACCTGATGTCTCCACATTTTTCTTTCTTTCTATTGCTAGCCATAGACATGGCTAACTACCATTTGTACACTGTACATTTTGCCTAATCATCTTCCATACATGACTTGATTTTATTATTTTGTTTTGGTAAGCTAGCAGCTATATAGTCACCTTGGCTGTTTTCTGCTTTTTAGTTCTACGATAATAATAAGTAGGATGCACTTGGGAAAAGAGATTGTATGTGGCATAAGATTCAGCTAAGTAATATAAGAAACTCTTTTTCTGGCCCCTCTTTTACTCATACATAGGCCATTCCTGACTTCAGAGTCTCATTCCAGGAGTCTGTGCATCAGGCATTCAAGATAAAACAAAATAGCTTACTCAGCTGTGATGTACCCGAAACACAGTACTAAATATATACATAAATATACTAGCCACCATTTATAACAGAGTTTTGATGGGAAACTGTTTTCAGAAGTATTATTAGGACTGCTGAGGATACATCTTTTCCCCTCTAGCCTAGTCTTTTGGGCCCCACCTCTTTAGCCTAGACTTGGAAGGAGGGAGCTGCAGAGAGGGTGGCAGGCTGTGTGGGCCTTCTTGTGGTTGTTAGAGTGAATATAGGGAGTGGGCAGTGAAGTGGAAATGAGGCTGTGGGTTTTCTGGATCAGAGGATAGATGGTGAGGTTACTGGTAGTAGGAGATGGAGACCATCCTGTGAAAGGGGTCTTGGGAATGGTGAAGAGGGGAGAGGGGCTGTAGTGGAATATAACAAAGGACAGGGAAAGCTACTTGTTGCTCTTTGTCTCCTGGGAGAGAGAAAGGACAAGGGCTGATGTGGGCCCTACAGTGACTTTCAGCTCTTTTACTTTGTCATCTTTTTACCCTTCCCTTTTCTTTTTCTTCCAGCCGCCAACAGGCAGCCCTAGGGGTAGGATGTTCACTAAGAGCTATTTCAGCAGCTTCAGAAGAGGAGTCTTGTTTGTGTTTCCTCATTTCCTCCCCATCCTTCCCTTTTTCCACTCCCACTGACAGGTGATTACAGTTGAGCCTAGAGAGTGCAAAGTTTGAGGAGCTTGAGAGAGAACAGGGAATAAAAGAAGAGGCGGCTAAAGCAACTGTTCAAATTGGGGATGCCTAGGAGAGAGTTATGTATGCACTGTTTGGGGGTCTTATGTTCTAAAGCACATCCCTTGATCTCAGGTTACCTACTGCTGTTACTGTTCCTAATAGGTTGTTAACTATTAATTTAATCTAACAAGGTTGAAAGAAGAGACCATGTTGCCTAACAAAGTGCTGGAAACATACAGTTATTATGTGGATTTTGTGTGCATTCTTTTGAGTGTGTTTGATATTGCTGATGATTGCATGCTCAGGCATAAATAGTCTTTACTAAATGAGATACATTTAAGGAAGTGGCAGCATCAAGAGTTTCAGCAGCAGGGCATGGGCTCTGGAGTATTCAGTCAGGTTCTGCTACCTCCTTGCTATCCCTGCCCTGTTTCTCATCTGTGAAGTGTGGCTCCAGGCATCCGTCTTACAGAATGACTAGGAAGATTAAGAGCCTGGTACATGATAGGTATTCACTAAATATTTCTCTGCTTTTGTGGAACTTATATTTTTGTTTAGATTGTTAAACTATGTAAACTCCAGTGGTTCTAATTTTTTTTTGGGGGTCTAATAGGGTCCTTGAAATGACATTCAGTTTGGGGTAGATAATATAGCTTTATTTCATTTTCCATTAAAATGAATCACCTGAAAACATTCATCAGGAAGAAGGACCTAATTTTAAGACATAAATGACATATTTGAATAATTTTAATCTAAATATATCACTTTAAATAGGTGATATTTATTAAACACGTAACATTAACCAAGACTTAAATGAAAAGGTACCAAGGGTCCCACCACTAGAGCAAACTGCTTTTATTGTTCTATCACCCCTTCTAGGCCAGATTCCTTTATTATGCAATCTTAACAGTCACTTTTTATAAAGGCATTTGCTTTGTCTCTAGGTGTAAAACAAAGGTGTATCCAGATAATCTTCCTACAACAAGTGTGGTGATTGTTTTCCACAATGAGGCTTGGAGCACACTTCTGCGAACTGTCCATAGTGTCATTAATCGCTCACCAAGACACATGATAGAAGAAATTGTTCTAGTAGATGATGCCAGTGAAAGAGGTAAATTTTAAATTTTAATGCCAATAATTTGCTACACCTTTTGCCACTAATGGTTAAAACTAGTTGCTATAATTTTTAACTTAATAATTTTATACAAGATTCTAATTTATCCCAAAACTATTTATGGCATTTGGATTCATTCACATATGCAAAGAAGTACACTCTTGTAAGACTCAAAATATTACTTTAGCATTTAATGTGTGTTGCATCTTAATCTTGTTTCAGAAAGAAATAATGCTATATAACAAGCTATTGTGTAGGACAGTGAAAAAACTCACATCATTTTGTTAGGTTTTTCTCTGTGGGAAGCAGCAGGACTGAGTCAGTAGAGAGAGCCTGGATCCTACATTCCATGTTTAGTAAGAACTATCTCTGACGGCAAAATGGAGCCTTAGCTGGGTGAACCTTTATTCTCCAGATTTTCCTTAGGTTTTCCTATTTTCTCCATTTCTAAGTTTTAGGAATGATCTATAGCTAGGTGCATAAAAGGATTAGGAAGGATGAAAAAGGTAGGATGTAATATGACTCATAATAAATCTCTATAGACTTGCCCAAATATCCTTCTAAGAATCTCGGAATTCTTCATAAACCTAAAATCTCCCAAACTATTTCATGAAACATTCTTTGGGAAAGGACATATTAATTAAAGGTGCCTTGGTTAATATTATTTATAATGAATCCTTACTGGAGATTTCACACCGCAGAGTACTGTATAGAAAAGACTCTGCTTAGTCCATCAGTAAAGAACCGTGCTTAACTTAAGATAGCCAGCGTTTCCTAATTTTCTTATTCATAGCACATCTGTTTAGGAATCTTTGGTGTCATGTATTCCACCAATGTTCCTGTGTTCACATGAGTAAAATTTAGAGCTACAGAAAATAATTTCCTATTGCTTTTCTTCCTACCTTTATCAGCCTTAAATGATCCACCATTTTAACCTCTTTTGCTAGTATCATCAACTTTCTTGACTGTTCTCTCATTTCATCTGCTATGATTTAGTTAAGTATCATACTTTCTCCTTCCTGTGCCCACGCTGAATACAGGCATTTAACAGAAATTAAGTTTATTCACATCAAATATTATTTGGCGTAATGAATGCAATAAAAACAATTTAAATCTTATTACTTTGCCAGATTATACAGGTGCAAATGAAGAATAAGATAAAAATTTTAAAGTAACCTGTATCTTACCTTTTTAATCTAATTAAAGAGACAGTTTATAATCACCCAAGACATTTAAATAGTATAATACATGATATAATTACAAGTTAAAATGAATGAGAGCTGTTAAGATACTTAAATAATTGTTGTTGACAACAGAAGTATAAACCTCATGTGGTTAGTTTGCTAGGAGTTAGTCCCTCTGTAAGAAAATTAACCTGAGTTAATATAAGGAGGAATATATATACACATTTATCCTGCAAATGACTCGTGCTTGGTTTACTTAAATGTTAATATTTGCTAGATTAAATATATTTTACCAGAGGAGATACTTACCCTGAGATTAAATTAATTATTTTTTCATTTCCTCCTTTGTTTTTCTCTCTTATTCTGTGAATGCCCAAGAAGGCTGTGTAGAATAAGTTTTTGTAGGATATGGCCCAATTAGAAAGGTGCAGGGTCCCACAACAAATGATAGAGAAACTCACATATACCAGTTCTCTCTTTCCTTTCCCTCATGCAGACCTCACCTAACACCCCAACCTGTGTACTCCTGTGAGAGGAAACTGGTGTGGGCAGGTGCCTACTTCACTGCTCCACCTGAGATTTAGTCACTAGGCAGGGTCCTGGAGTGCTGCCCCAGAGTCCCTGCTCAGGGGTCTGATTCTCCTTTATCTTCCTGCCTTGGAAGCCTCAAATATCCAGGTTACCATTTCCGATATCTGAGAGACACTAGATCTTTGTTTTTGTAATGATAATTTGCAGTCTTGTCATCTAATGTATTTTTCTTTGGCCCCATTGTTTATATCGTGATTGTTGGACCCAGGAACCAGAGCAAGCTCTTTGCTTTTACGTAACTCTTTAAATCTGCTTTTTCCTATTCATGAGACACATCCAAGGCACCATCATTTCTCACCTGGATGTGGAAATAGGCTAACTAGTCTAACTAATGTCCCCACATACTCTCACCCCCTCCAATCTGTTCACCATGGTGCCTCCAAAGTGAGCTTTTTTAAAGCATGCAAATCTGATCATTTTTTTTCCATGATTAAAACCCCTCCACTAAGGCCTATATGACCTAGCCCCACCTGGCATCTCCAGTCACATCTTGAACCATTCCCATACTTCTGCCCAGTATACAGTTTTCTTCTTGCAGTTTATTAAAGATAATCATTCTTCTCCGTATCTCAGGGCCTTCGCTTGTACTGATTCTGTTCCCTCTCCCTAGAACATTGTTCTCCAGGGAAGATTTGTCTCCACTATCTCCCCAGCATAGTTAACATCAAATCATCCATCAGAGTTCAGCTCAGATGTGATGCATTTAGAGAGGCCTTCCTTGACCTCTCTAGTCCTATCATGTTCCTCTGAAAACATCTCATAACACTCTATTCCTCTACAGCTCTAACAAGAGTTTGAATTATTTACTTGTTTGTTTAACAGGTGCCTCCCCACAATAGACTATATACTTTGTCAGGTCTGCTTGCTCACCATTATCTCCTCAGTGCCCACCGTGCCTGTTATGTAACAACAGTCTAGAATTATATAATGAATGGATGAAGGAATAAGGTACACTGGTATATTTAATCTTCACATTTACTTCTCTGTGCAAACTTTCTAATTGGGTTGTGTAGCATAGATAGTGTGCCCATGGCCTCTGGATGCTTGATTTCAAGTTAATCTGCTGAGTAACTCTATTAAAGAAGTATGAAGTAGGTGCTATAATTATTCCTGTTTTATTGATGAGGCTTAGCATGGTAGAGGAGTAACCAAACCCTGTATAAATCCATAGCCTGACCTTTTAACTGCTATATGCCTCACTTCTAATTGCTTCTGGTGCAACTTTACTGTTACAGGATCTGTAATGAAGTCAGAATTTGGCTGAATCCCTAGTTTATGTCAGAAGTTATGTAATTGTCATCTCTGAAAGTTATCTTAAGACTTAGAATTTATGTAATGTTTCTAATCTGAGAAGCCTTTTTTTTTTTCATTTTATACAAAAAGAAGCAGAGGTTTATATTTAGCAGAGATTAGGAGTCAGATTTATTAGACTCTGAATTCCTTATTCTTCCCTACTACTCTTTCGAGTTCTGGTAAATATTTTTCAGATGTTGCTGTGAACAGTGAAATTTTTCCCTGATGTTCATACTCTCTGACAATCTCACACTCTGAAAAATGCTTAGGGATTCATTTATAGGCCAAGAGTTATAAAGATGTTGTTTCTCCCTTGTTTTTAGATGTAATAGTAGCTTCTAACTACAGTCACTTAACTCATGGCTTCAGTTTTGTAAAATGAGACTTGGATAGTTCCTAACCCCCACCCAGCCCTGAGTCCATAATTCTGTATCAACTGAAAAGAAGACACCTATATCCTAACGTTATCATGTGAAAGCCACAAAGATGTCAAACAAAGATGCCAAGAAAATTTGTGGAAGAGCAAATTTTGTGAGTTACCAGACCACGGAATTGTGCAATTTTTAAAAAATTTTGTTCGTAAACAAGATAGTATAGCTTTCAAAGACATGTGGTATTTTGAGATTATATTGCTTTAGTTCTGAAGAAACATTTTAAACTAATATTTTTGGAAAAACTTATTGGGAGACACATTGTTTATGACACACCCAGTCTTGATTGATCTAAGGTACCAGAATATATATTATACCCTACTGCATGAAGTTCTATCAAATTCTGCATACAAAGTATTTTAAATTTGTGTCTGATCAGGTGCTTCCAAAGACCTGAATTGTTCTCTCCATAGAATTCCCTTCTAGGATTCTCTTTTTGTAGATAAAAAGATGGGCTTTAAAGTCAGGCAGACCTGAGTTTGAATCTTGGATCCATCCCTTAACAAGCTGTATCACCTTGATCAAATTCATGTAATATGCTGAGCCTTAGATTTTCATTTCTGAAGCATGCATAATAACAACCTCATAGGGTCGTTGTGAGCATTAAATGAGATAAGATATACAATGAGACTAGCATTACATATGTTAGCATTGTGCTACACAGACCCAAAATGTTAACAAATACTACAAAATGTTGCTCTTCTCTGGGATTGGCTTACCTTTTTACTCAAAATCAAGTTAGATCCTTCAGAGCCTAAGACTTGGTTCATAAAATCACAGTGATGTCTTTCAGATAACTTTTTAGCCCAAATAGTAGAAAAACATTAGCGTAAATGGAAAAGATCAGTGTTTTAGGACACATAGGCCTTTCTCTTTTACAACTTTTATATCCCTGATTATTTCATTATTGAGTCATTTTGTCTTGTTGAGTCAAATAGTCCAGAATCATTTTATTCCCATTTGTCTTTTCCACCCCACTATGTAGGAAGCCTTTTGGGTCCCTACTTTTAGTATTTAATTAATAGATATGAGGATAATCTCTTTAGGGGTCCCAGTAGTTCCATCTCAGATATTTTCTTCCCTAGAGAGATTATCCTCATACTTACTGTATGGTGAATAGTTGGAAAGGCATTTGGCTGTATCACCACCAATAGCTTCTCTAGCATAAATTCTATAAACCAAACTAATCTGAAAAATATTTCTCCTTGCTTTGAGGAAGTTGTGCCTTTTCTGCTTTTTAAAGTCAGTTGTGAACTTTGGAGGTAAGGTCTGCCTTACCATACATGCTTGCTTGTGTCCTGAGCAACATAATCTCTTATCCGAACTCTCCTCTTATCCGAACCAATAGAATGGCTATTGATTTCATATACCCATATACTCTCCCTTTCCCCTTTTGCCCCCTTTTTCTCTTTTCCCCTTCAATTGTCCTTTCCTTTTTAAACTTTTTTCTTACACCTAACTGTCAGGTTAAGTTACATGGCCTTGCAGTTGACAGTCCAGCATTTCTTTTCCAAGCTTGACCTCACTTTCTGCCTCCTGGTTTTAAAAAAATGTATAGTCAAAGACCATGGTAATCAACAAGACAATTTGTTTCTGCTTTTGAGGAGATATCACAATGTTCTTAACTCAACAGCTGTTAACATATTCTGTGTCTTCTCTCCGTTGAGGTGAGGATTTAATGCTTTCTTTCTATTGCTAATCTTTAACATGATTAGAAAAAGAATTGAGTCTGACAAAGTTACTTAGAGAAGTGTAGGAGCATTCCTATTCTTGGTTAAGCCTGAGCCCAAAAGCACTCTCCTAATTCCACATGTAATAAGATAGAGGCATCTCTAGTACATGCTCTTGGGAAATATAAAGGCTTCCTTTAGCAAAATGGGTTTCTGACTCAGGGAGCCTTGCTGAGAGTGTTCAATAAAGGGATGTTGAATAAATATTCCAAATCAAAATTGCTTTATCTGAATAGGGCCAGGCCACACTTTTTTTCATGTTTTTTTGTTTTGTTCGTTTTCCAGACTTTTTGAAAAGGCCTTTAGAGAGTTATGTGAAAAAACTGAAAGTACCAGTTCATGTAATTCGAATGGAACAACGTTCTGGATTGATCAGAGCTAGATTAAAAGGAGCTGCTGTGTCTAAAGGCCAAGTGATCACCTTCCTGGATGCTCATTGTGAGTGTACAGTGGGATGGCTGGAACCTCTCTTGGCCAGGATCAAACATGACAGGTAATTTTCTGGTATTTGTAAGTTTGTTTTTAGTACTTTTGTCCTAAACTATATGGTGAGTTGCCAAATTTTATATTTTTAAATAAATATAATTTCCTCCCAAGTTTGCTTTAAAATATCTGTGAAGAGGACTCTAAACAAAATATCCACAAGACCACATTCTGAAACCTGGCAGGAATGTTCACAAACTATTTTGCTAATGGGGATGGATTAGGAAGCATGTGGTTGGAATGTATACTATATGATCTGTTCACCAAACTGGAGCAGAACAGATGGAGGGTGAACTCAGAGAAGACAGCATAAAACCCTTCACTTGTCCTTGCTCTCTAAAGGTAACACTGGAGCAGGCAGGTCTTCTCAGCCTGTGGTGCAGCAAGAAGTAGAAGAGAATGGAGAGAAACATGTCGTGTCCTGAAATGCTTAATTTTATATGGAAAACACCATAATCTTGGATAATATAGGAAGAACATTGATGTAATGAACACCTGTCATAGTTTTTTATGTTACACATTTTTTGAAGAATTACCTTTTACTTGGCTCTGGCTTAGTTCTTGTGTATCAGGAGAGAACCTAACTTCATTCTGCTAATGTTGGTTGAATTTCTGCTTGTCATAGTAATTTGAAATAGAGGCTGTCCATGTTAACATTCAAGTTTAGATTTTAGTGGAGTGAACTTCTACTAATCAAGTGCAACACAGTGGGAGCTAAAGCCACAGCATCTATTCTGTTTGTTAGCAAATGCTGGATCTACATTTTTTCCTTTTCAAAGATGAATAAATAGGAAAACTCAGCATTGGGCCAATCAATGGGAAAGTAGAGCAGCTTTAGAAAAAAGAGCAATGACCGGAAGAGTCAAAAGAATAGAACATCTCTGTAAATTGTTTTCTCTGTATAATTCATGACTGTTTTAGAGAATATTTGCTTGCAAGAAGATAATACATAACCCATAGAGCGAAAGCAAGGTCAAGTGATAACAGAAGTATGAAAGGGAGTCAGCCGAATTAGCAACCACAGTGACTTCCAGTTTGGCCTGTATGGTGGATTCAATATTCTGAATAACTTTTCCAACTGAAAATGCTGGATAAAAGGCAAAACAAATTTTAAATGCATCATTGAGTTGGCACAAAAATAAGAAATTTGCAGATCTCGAAAAGAAGGGAGAGCAAATATGCAGTCCAAACACTAAAGCCAGATTTCACTGGTAGGGTTTCTGCTGAACTTCGGAGACACTAAACTTCTTCCTTGACAGACAAATAAGATGCAAGGATAGGAGACCAAACCTAGGTCCTGCCTAAGGTGGGAAGGTTAATAGCAAATACCTGTATAAAGCTGGGATCTTGAAATCTCTGTCTTAGGATAAAGCGAGAATAAAAGACTTTGTAAACAGAATATAGAAAAAGAGGGAACAAACCAAATTTTTTATGAGGCTAGTATAACGCTGATATGAAAACCAGAAAAGTACTACAAGTAAAATTACAGTGCAAACCTGTTCATGAATGCTAGTACAAAAATCTCACAATACCAGCAAACGGAACCAGCAATATATATGTTTACAAACACACACACACACACCATGATATCATAACTGCTTGGTTTAGCATATTACAAAAATAATTCATTTAATACATCCCATTAATGAATTTTTGAAACTATGATTACAAACTTATTAAACACCGGTGATCACTCCCATATATACTAAAAAGGGTTCACTAAAATTTAACATGAATTTATTATTAGAAAATACTTAGCAAACTATTATACAGTGGAAGTTTACTAATCCAAGAAAGGATAGCTTAAAAAAAGCCTTTGCAAGCAGAAATCATGTTAATGGAGAAATGTTGAAAGCATTTTTAAAAAGATGTGGAACAAGATGTTAATACATTCAATCACCAGTTAGTATTTTTAGAAGTCCTTCTTTGGTTTTGCAGTACTACACTAAAGAACACATATTTATTGGAAAAAAGGAAAACCATTGTTGTCAATTGTAGATGTGTTTGTGACGAAAATGAATCTGTACATAAAATAATGGAAACATTAAGAGTTTAGCAATGTTGCCGAACACAAGATTACTATAGAAAGTTCAGCCTGGTGCAATGGCTCACACCTGTAGTCTCAGCTCTTTGGGAGACTGAGGTGGAAATATCACTTGAACCCAGGAGTTGGAGACCAGCCTGGCCAACATGGTGAAACCCCATCTCTACTAAAAATTCAAAAAATTAGCCAGGCATGGTAGTGAACGTCTATAGTCCCAACTACCTGGGAGGTTGGGGTGGGAGGATCACTTGAGCCCAGTAAGTCAAGGCTGCAGTGAACCGAGATTATACCACTACCCTCCAGCCTGGGCAACAGGCTGGACTCCATCTCCCAAAAAAAGAAAGAAAAGTTTATTTCACAGCAATAAGGAATACTTAGAAAATACAATGTAAAATGGGGAGGAAGGCAGCAAATCACACTGCCATGTGTGTACCTATGCACCCATCTTGCATGTTCTTCACATGTACCCAAAACCTAAAATGCAATATAAAAAAAAGAAAATATAATGTAAAAAGAAAATATTCATAATAGCAATGGAAGTCATAGACTACACATAGGAATATGTCTAGCAAAAGATTTATTGAAATTTACAAAAAAATCTTGAAAGAGAGGTGACATTCATATATAGGAGTCAATATCATGAGTATCAGTTCTACCCAAATTCATATTTAAATGCAGTGCATTTCCAATTGATATCTCAACGGAATTTTCTTTGAGAACCTGAACAGGCTGATTCTAGCATTGATAAGGAACTATAAAAGGAAAAAAAGGAGTTGGCATGCTTCTGAGGAAGAATAAAGTCTAAGGGGGCTTGCCCTAATAGGGGTCAAGACTTATTTTAAAGCTGTGTTAATTACAGCAGTGGTATATTGATGCAGAAATTCACAAATAGACTAGTGAAACAGGGTAGGGTCTAGAAACCAGCCCAGTTTTTTAAATGTGATCTTGATTTATGACAGAGCAGACACTCATAGTTACAGCAGAGGAAAAGGGACCATTACATAAATAGTGCTGGAACAACTGGTTATTTATAGAAGAAATAAGTGAAATTGTATACTTATTGCATATCATAGTTAAAACCAGTCCCTTGAGGGTTAAGGACTTAAATATAAAAAATAAAAATATGCTTCTTCTTAAGACAATATAGGAGTATGAATGAAAGGGGAGGGATTATCAACCAGTAAATAATTATGATGCTAGTTTGATGTGAGATAGAGCATGAGAGTTTTCATCATTGCCTTTAACATTGTAGACTGTATTTTATTTTAAAAACACTTTCAGCCTAGGTGCAGTGGTTCATGCCTGTAATCCTAGTACTTTGAGAGGCCAAAGTAGGAGGACCCCTGAGCCTAGGAGACCGAGACAAGCCTGAGCAACATAGGGAGACCTTATCTCTACCAAAAAAAAAAAAAATTTTTTTTTTTAATTAGTTAAATGTGGTGTTACACACCTGTGGTCTCAGCTACTCAAGACTCTGAGGTGGGAAGATCACTTAAGGAGGTTGAGGATGCAGTGAGCCCTAATTGCACTGCTGCATTCCAGCCTGGGTGACAGAGGAAAAAAAAAAGTTAAAGCACTTAGTATACAGTTGTTCTAGAGTTGGCATTAAACAGGTATGTTTTGAAAGATTTTTAAAATTGCTCTTATGATGTCAGGAAAACAGTGGTGTGTCCTATCATCGATGTGATCAGCGATGATACTTTTGAGTACATGGCAGGCTCTGATATGACCTATGGCGGGTTCAACTGGAAGCTCAATTTTCGCTGGTATCCTGTTCCCCAAAGAGAAATGGACAGAAGGAAAGGTGATCGGACTCTTCCTGTCAGGTAATTATGGGAATCATATCAAATGGATAAGTGTATTTTGAGAAACATGAAGCATTCGTATTATCTTATGGTAGGTTAAGAACCATCTTTCACATATATGAGTGTTTTAAAGAAGGATTTCTCCTGTAATAAAATTAGAAATTTTTATTTATTCTATAAATCTTCGGCACATGAGAAATGATGACATGCATGTTTTTTCATTCCTTTATGAACATTTTGCAAATGTATAAGTCAGATCTGTGCTTTAGTTCAGTTGTGAAGGATAATAAATCTTAGCTCAACTAATTGTGTCAGTATGTGAAAATATTACCTAAAACTGGGTCCTTGCATTATAATGTGCAATTTTAAATTCAGACTTGTACCATCTGGATGACAGTTATTGACTGGTAAAGTTAGAAAAGCTTGTATCAAACATAAAAATAGCTAGAATTGACACAAAGTATAAAAAAGGTATTCATTAATGCATTTATTTTCTCTACTTGGCCATATATAGATTTTTTTTTGAGGGTGGAATAAAAACCTTCATGCTCTTTTTAGAACATGAAATTGAGACTGTGAGCTCTTCTGAGCCATCCTAGAATTTATCCCAATTGTATCAACCTGCTACTTCTGTATTAAGAGTTTTCAGAGCGAGGCTTCAGCTGTCTTCTTTCTTCAGGCCTCCTGTGTCTGCCTTCCCTTGAATTCAAGTCCAGTTCTGGCAACATTGAAGAGATTTTCCACTGACTGTGTGCTGTTTTCCTTAGTCAGCCTAAGTTCTTAGTAGTGCAAGGGACTTTTCTTCTTTTTAGCTGTTATAGTGCAATTCACTATTGAAATCAAGGGTTTCTAAACATTTCAAAGATGATGAAGTGTTTTGAAAATCTGGTGAAAACTATGGGTCTTCTCTAATAGAGAATAATGCTCACCTACATACAGAAGGTTTAGCACACAAAAAACTCAGGTCAAGAAACCCCTGTATTAAATGATAATTCTGAATTTTGGCCTGTTTCTTTTAAACCCTTTTCTCATTCTTTTTTTTTGTCTAAAATCAAAATAAGTTCAAACCTTTTTTAGAAGCCACTATTTCCTCTGGAAAGGTAGTGAGTACATTTTAGGGTTCCAGAGGTGGCCAATTCATCTTCAAATATAATCTTCATTGTATCTTCAGTCCCTGGAACTAAATTAGTTTTTCTCCTGGTTGGAGTTCACTTTTTCTCCATACTTATTCTTTGTGAAAATCAAATGACTGATATTATTTTAATCTTCCTTCATTTCTTAATCATTTCTCTGCTTAATTTCACATATTGCCACTCCCTTTGCATACGTAAGCCCATTTTGATGAATTAGGCTCCTCTTTTGTAGAAAATATACCATACAGTCAGGAAGGAATATACTGATTTGTTATATATTTTGTCTCTTCTCCTTAAAGATTTCTAGTGGGTACTGGGAAAAGGCCTCATTGTTTTTATCCTGTTTATCGTCTGTGTTTACATATTTGCCACCCTTTAGAACCTGACATGGTAACTGTAACCTCAATCTACTTGGTTAGTATAGTCAACTGCCTTGAAGTTGCTGGGATCCATGGAGTGGGTACACAGTCAGATGGAGAGGATTGTGAGGAATAGCTTTAATTTAAGGAGTTTGAGCTCTAAACCCAGTTAGAACCTGAGGACCAAGAAAGATGCTAAAGATACAAAGTACTGTTAGGACTGTGACAGAGGGGGATGTCTGAGCAGAAGCATGACACAGCAAGTCTAGCAGTAAGCATGACCACGGTGCAGGTCATGTCTGAAAACCAAATAACACAGCATGAAACACAGAAAGCCCCTGGGGCCTATGAAAGTTTATGAAAAGTGTGAGAGTAAGTACTTATTCCATAGTTATAAATAGTTATGAAACTGCTTTTAAAAACAAAAACTGATTGTAAATTTTAAATTGCTAATGGCATAGCATTATTGAATTTCAGAACACCTACCATGGCAGGAGGCCTTTTTTCAATAGACAGAGATTACTTTCAGGAAATTGGAACATATGATGCTGGAATGGATATTTGGGGAGGAGAAAACCTAGAAATTTCCTTTAGGGTAAGTTCCCTTCAAAAAAATTAATCTTTTATTTAACCTCAAGTATAGATGTGCTTTGATTATTCATGCTATCTTTACATAAAAAATAATTGAATTTAATACAAGTTTCATGTAACTTCAGAACCTTCTGTCCATAAAATGGACTAAAGTATTAATGGTTCATTATAAACTATTGAAGCAAATAATACAGTTATCTTTAAAGTCCAGCTATAAAACTTACACAAGATTTTCTAGTTGTTTTAAATTTTTATTATTTTCAAGGAAGTAATTTAAGCTCAAAAAAATAATATGTAGTTTGAATACGCTACTTGGGTACTTTGCTCTTAAAAACATAAATTTCACATTTTGTAATATGCTTTTTGTTTCTAGTGTGAACATTTTTTTAATATAAAACCTAGTTAACTTTATCAGCTTTATATTTTTCAGTAAAAAGAAAAACGCAAAAATTCTAAAATGACTCTAATTTAATGTAACCCAGTCTGCTTATAAAGTCTTTGCATTTCATGTTTACTAGAATCAACATATCATTTAAATGGCATTGCATATTTTTGAAAATAACCAACTTTGGACACATAGCTTATTAAAGTGGAAATCACATTGACTGTACTGTAATCTAAACCGGTGAGCTCACTTAGTTCCCAATGAATCACTTTGCCTTCTTGTCAAAGAGAGGGTTGGACTCCAGATCATCTTGGAGATCCTATTCAGCTCTAACACTTTATGTTCCTGGGAAAACTTGAAGGTAGAAACACTGAATATTTAACAAAATCAGAACTTTCCAAACTGTTATTTTAATTGTAAAGAGTTACTAGATTTTTAGTAGGGGTGGGGGAATGTATTTTGAAAGGAACAGAAGGATTTCATTAAATTAACAATGTAAGCCCCATACTTGATCATCTTTCTTTTGTTCCTTTTTTTTTTTATTCTAACAAAGACAACAAAACATGCTTTTATTATCTCACTGAAGAATTTACGATGGATCTAGTTTAGATTCCTAGGTTCTGTTTCACGCACAGGCTGTGACACAGGTTTGGAGAGGGGTAAACAGATGAGAATCTGGCTGGATACTCCATGGTCAGGTTTGGTTTGGTTGTTGTTTTTAACCATGACCACATTAATAAATACTTTATACATGATGCACACACATAACATAAAATTTAAACATTTTCTGAAACAGTATGTCCTTGTTAACAAGTACAGGTTGCAATTCATCAGTTTGAATTTATGATTCTCTTAGGAATCATGGCCTGCAGTTAGAAAAATACTGCTTGCTCTAGATCTCATGTCGTTTCTGTATTTAGCCTTTAACTTATGTTTTCTTTATTTTAATCTTCAACTTTTGGTTTGATCACAGCTCAGAATTAGAGACATGTCTCTTGAGGAAGCACAGGCTTTGTAACCGAACTGTACGGCAGGAGCCCACCACATGCCCCTCATTCTGCAGAATTCCAGCTGTAGAACCCAATAGATGTCAACACTTTTTTTTTAAACTATCAATGTTATATATGGTCTTCTTTGCTGTTATTTTCAGATTTGGTAGTATGGAGGTACTTTGGAAGCTCTTTACCAGTAACTACAGTAGGTTCCATTTAAGTTTAAACAAAAGCCAGATCCCTCTTTAATTGAAAAGAAAAATGCCGTTGGAAAACTAAGGTGAACATTTCCTGATTACCCAGCTACATCTTACATAGTCATTTCTGCTGTTTTCAGATTTGGCAGTGTGGAGGAACTTTGGAAATTGTTACATGCTCACATGTTGGACATGTGTTTCGGAAAGCTACACCTTACACGTTTCCAGGAGGTACAGGGCAGATTATCAATAAAAATAACAGACGACTTGCAGAAGTGTGGATGGATGAATTCAAGAATTTCTTCTATATAATTTCTCCAGGTTAGCATTGTTTTGGATTAGAAATATAGGACTGTACCTTTCTTGACCCTGATCCTGGAGGGGAAGTAAGAAGGGTAAAAGTGAAGCTTTGAGCAGAGGTGAACACCTACCTCATAAGGTCATTGAAACGAATAAATGAACTCATACACAGTATAGAGAGTGCTTGGCAGAATGCCTAGAATAATATATAATTAGCAGTAATAAATTATCCAGGTCAGTATTGCTAGCCCAGGTTTTACAGATGTTCTATTTTTTTTAACCTAACTGCAACATTTAATATTTATTCCTGTGAAGTTTCATCTTATTAAATTTTCAGCCATTTTTCTAGCTTGTATGACTTTCTTGATTGTTGGAGTTTTCGTTCAACATAACAAAACTGCTATTTTTGCATTGGGTCATGAGTGTTCTCTATAAGCAGGCCCTCATAGGAAGCATTCGCCAAGTATCACAAGGCCACTGAGAGCCCAAAACATGCCACAAGGGCCTTCTCTCCAGGAACTTTTTTCTGCTATTCAAACTTTTGTAGGAACAGTTCTTCCATCAGCTTTAAGTCTGTCTGACATTGTTACTAGTCCATCTTATTTTTTAGTTACTGCTAGACTGTCAAGTGGCAGGGTTCACAATTCAGTGAGTTGTCTGAGAGAAGCCTGACTGCAAACAATTGCTCTGTTTAATATTTGAGCAAAATAGATCTTGATTTTTTTGTTTGTGCCTTAACATATATTGATGTTTACTGATCTTTTATCACTTATATTTCATTCTCACATAAATGTAATCTGGCTTATTAGATTCAATATATAGACGTGTGTTACCTAAAACAACATTAATTCAGAGTCAATTATTTCTTTCAACAGGTGTTACAAAGGTAGATTATGGAGATATATCATCAAGAGTTGGTCTAAGACACAAACTACAATGCAAACCTTTTTCTTGGTACCTAGAAAATATTTACCCTGATTCTCAAATTCCACGTCACTATTTCTCATTGGGAGAGGTAAGAAATATATATGTATATATTCTGTGTGGTTATTATGTTCTTACTTTTTTTTAAAAGAAAACAAGAGAAGTTAAACTTCTAACAAGGAAAATACTTTCATATTAAAATTATATAGTAACTTTAAGTGTAGGGAAGTTTTTGCTAGTTGACAGAATCTACCTCATAACTTGAAGTCTTATTAATTTTTTTCATGTTATATTTTATGAAAGTAAGAATGTTCTTTCCCTAAGCTTTCACAGCTGGACTCTTATTACAATATAGTCGTGTCTTTGGTAGGCTTATTATTTTAACAGATTAACCCATTTAGTTGAGATGATAGACCCTTAAAGCTAATGTCTTGATGTTAATGAGCTTGAATCAAAGCTGGAGGAACTACAAAGTCAAGATAAATTATAAAGGAATGATAAGGAAAGTGAAAGGCCATTTATGTTAAATTGTATTTCAGCACATGTTTATTTTCCTTTGGGAGTTGTAAATCTCTCGTTTGGGCAGTGAAGTTTGAAATACTGTTGGTAAACAAGTTTGTTTCTGATGATGCCTTCAGTTATTTTTCTTAGAATTCAGCAGCAAATTTTATTGAAACCTTAAAAAATTTGCTTATTAATGCTTATAATTGGTTAACACAAATTAGTTTTGCTTTGGAGTTTAGGTCTTTTATCCCTAGGGTGCCCATGCTGTAGGATCTAACTACCATGGTGGTCATAGGAACTATTTTTTATGCTCAGTTTTACCCTATTTGTATAATGTAAGCCACCATCCATTCTTCCTCCCAGCCAAACTTCTGCTTCATGTGTAGGAATCCAAATAGGTCCTTGCCTCTAGTCCAAGGGTCTGATTTTTTTTTTTTAATTCAGAATATTCAGTCTCTAAGTCAGAATTCTCCCAGGGGCCTGAGATCTTCCCTCTCTTGGAAGAAGACACAGCTGTCTTCACCTCTAGCCTTAGTACATCCATGTTCCTCCCTTTAATTCCCAGGAAACAAAAGCCATTTGTTAATTCAGTTTTTTCTCTTCTTTTGACTTCTTAGTTGTCATTCTTGTGTTTTTGTTTTCATGGTTGCCCTAGACATTTTAATATGTATCCTTGAATTATTACAGCCTACCTTAATTTATACTTTATCAATTTGCCACTCTATCGATTATTCCCCTAGTTTTTGAAGAAGTGTTGAACTGCTTTGTCTTCTGTAAAAACAGTGCTTTTCCTTCTCTTCATTATCATATAATATTCCTAAGTATCCTTTCTTAATAATCATCAAACTCTCCAAGATCCTTTTTTTGTTAAATCTAGGGATTGATTTTCAGCACAGCTCAGTAGTGGATTATAAAACAATTTAGCTGCTTATGACCACTAGTTTTTTGTAGTCTAGAAATGAATATATTAAAATGTACTGCTTGTAATAAAGGAATTTTATTTTTACTGAGTCATTATGTAAAATATATTTCTTAAAATGAGTTGTGATCAAAAAAAGTTTGAAAGATACTGTCTTTTTAAAGAGTATATGACAGTTCTCTTCTGAATAGCCTCATATTCATGTTTGTAGACTTTACTATCGGATTTTTTAAATCTCTTTAGTAGCCCCTTCTTTTATTGTCTGCGTTTCTAGTAATAGATACACAGCCTTTTCTATATCCCATGGCTTCCTCCCCAGAGAACATATGACTTCCTCCTTGTAATAATGCCCTTGGCTCAAACTCTTTTGCTTAGAATTTGACACATTTTTTTCCTGAGACAGTCTTAGCAGTTAAGACGGCCTTTTTTGTACCTAAGTTCTTGTAATAAAGATGTATCCCTCCTTCTTTTCACTCTGTAATCACTTTACTTAAAGAAAGCCTCTAGAAGGGAAAGGGAAAAGTTATTTTAGGAGCACAGGCACAGGATCCTCTATGCCAGAGATTAGCACACTACAGCCTGCAGGCCAAATCCAGCCTGTTTTTGTAAATAGAGTTTGATTGGAACATGGCCACACTCATGTGTTTACTTACTACCCTTGGCTACTTTTGCATTACAACAACAGAGTTGAGTAGTTGCTGCAGAGATGGATGCGGACTGCACCTAAGCCTGCAATATTTACTCTCTAGCCCTTTAAGAAAATATTTACTGACCCTAAGGATATGCAGCCAGGAGCAATCACTGACAGCCTTCCTTATCCTCACAGCCCTGTTCTTCCAGCTTGTGTTTGATCATCTGGGAACCTGATTGTGATATTTTCTCCAGATAGACCTAACATTTAACTTCTCTTGCTTCCTTCCTCCTTCCTATCCTATAAGTCTAAACAATATTTTTCCGCCCATTCCCTCTGCCTAAAAATTGATTTCCACTAAGCTGACGCACCTGGAGATAAGCTGTGTACTGTGGAGTCTGTTTTTCCCTATTGTGTGTAGTGATATGTTTCCTAAACAGACTGCACCATCTGCAGTTGTGGATCTGTAAAATCTGTATATATATATTTTAAAAAGACTTCTTTGCAAGTCTTTGTGAACTTGTAATTATAAAATGGCTTTTAGAAAAAAATATGAAGCCAAGTAGGGGGGAAAAATCCAAACTTTTTGTGACAGAAATCAATAGAAGAACAAGCTTTCCTTTTATAAGTTATAGCAGCAAAATGACGATAAGTGTCGACAGGACTACAACCAGGCCTATCCAGGATTAAATCTCAGGAAAAGTGGCTCCCACTCTGAAGAAGGCTGTCACTTCAGTTCTTTCATTCATTCAACACATCACTGTAGTTCCTAGTATATGACAAGTACTATTTTAAGTACTAGGAATACAGCAATAAGTAAAGCAAACATCCTGCTCTTGTTGATCTTACAGGCCATGAGTAAGCCAGACTGTGAAAGGCACACAATATGTCAGGTGGTGATGAGGGCAGAAGGGATAGAGAATGACAGACTAGTGAGCATGGGTAGTAGTGCTGTTTTATGTAAGGAAGTTGAAAAAGAGTCCTCTCAAGGTGATTTTGTGCAGAGATCTGAAGGAAATGAATGAGCAGATCATATGAATTTTTAGGGAAAGAGTATTCCGGGCACAGGGAAGAAGAAGTATAAAGGTTTCTAAGATGATGATGTACTTTGTGTGTTCCAGAAACAGCAGGGAGACCAGTTGTCTGGAATAGAGTGAACAAGGTGGAGAGTAGAAGTTAAGGTCAAATACGTAGTGAGGATCAAATCATATAAAGCTTATAGGTTATCATGAGAACTTGGCATTTTGCATTTTATTCTGAATCAAATGGAAGCCATAGAGAGATACCAGCAAACTTCCATTAGAAAAGGATCAGATTGTCTGCTATGTGGAGAAAAACTCTATGGAAACAGCAGTAGAGTTGTGCATTGTTGAAAGGAAGAGAGTAAAGGATTATGTCAGGTTTCTATCAAGCTTGAGACACTGACCCTAGAGTTGCCATTACTGAGATGGAAAAGCCTACAGGAAGAGCAGATGCTGGTGAGATTCAACAGTGTAGTTTGGGACATATTAAATTTGAGATCCAGTGAATATGTGAATAGGTCTTTACATTTAAGAATATTCCAAGAACGACCCAAGATGGCCGATCGCTAACATCCCGGGATTGCAGCTCTCAGGGAAGGCGCAGAGAACTAGAGGACGCCACACTTTCAGACGAAGTCTGGTCGCTCACGGAGCAGAAGATCCCCCAGTGGTGGAAACACATGAGTCGCCAGCGCGACTCTCGTGGTCGGCGCAGCGGTTCCGCCGGCACCTCGACGCAGCAGCGCTCGGCGCAGAGTAAACAGGACCGGTTCCCCTTCTGGCCAAGGTTTGGAGCCCCAGGAAGGCAGAGTCGCCTACTAGGGAAACAAGAAGGAAGCCAGACAGGAGAATCCTGGGCAGAAAAGCACCATCAGTTTTAACGCCGCTGCTCTGGCCCTGGGAACTAACAACCTGGACGTCCACTCAAGAGACCTAATCTGAAAGTTGGTAATTTCAAAGACGACAGGAGGATAAATTTACAATGACAGGAAGAAACCAGCGTAAAAAAGCTGAGAATACTCGAAGTCAGAACGCCTCTCCCTCTAAAGATGATGACAGTTCCACATCAACAATGGAACAAGGCTTGATGGAGAACGAGCGCATCCTGATGACAGAATCACTCTTCAAGGAATGGATAATAACAAACTTCGGTGAGTTAAAAGAATATGTTGTAGCCCAACGTAAAGAAACTAGGAACTTTGAAAAAAGGTTTGATGAAATCCTACTGAGAATAGACAACTTAGAGAGGAGTATGAGTGAATTAATGGAACTGAAGAATACAATACAGGAACTCCGAGAAGTATGCACAGCTTTAAACACTCGAATTGTTCAAGCAGAAGAAGGGATATCAGAGGTCAAAGTCCAACTTAATGAAATAAAACGTGAAGAAAAGATTAGAGAAAAAAGGATAAAAAGGAATGAGCAAAGTCTCCAAGAAATGTGGGACTATGTGAAAAGACCAAATTTACGTTTGATAGGTGTACCTGAATGCAACGGAGAGAATGAATCCAAGCTGGAAAATACCCTTCAGGATATTATTCAGGAAAATTTTCCTAAACTAGCAAAGCAGGTCAACATTCAACCCCAGGTAATACAGAGAACACCACAAAGATATTCCTCAAGAAGAGCAACCCCAAGGCACATAATCGTTAGATTCACCAGGGTTGAAACGAAGGAGAGGATGGATACTAAGGGCAGCCAGAGAGAAAGGTCAGATTTCCCACAAAGGCAAGCCTATCAGACTTACAGCAGATCTCTCGGCAGAAACTCTACAGGCCAGAAGAGAGTGGGGGCCAATATTCAACATCCTCAAAGAACAGAACCTTCAGCCCAGAATTTCATATCCAGCCAAACTAAGCTTCACAACTGAAGGAAAAATAAAATCTTTTATGAACAAGCAAGAACTCAGAGATTTTATTACCACCAGGCCTGCTTTACAAGAGCTTCTGAAAGAAGCATTACACACAGAAAGAAACAACCAGTATTAGCCTTTCTAAAAATACACCAAAAAGTAAAGAGCACCAACATAAAGAAGAATTTACACCAACAAATGGATAAAACAGCCAGTCAACATCAAATGGCAGTAACCCTAAATTTAAATTGACTAAATTCCCAATCAAAAGACACAGCCAAAACCCAACGGCATGTTACATCCAGACCTGTTTCACATGCAAGGATACACAAAGACTCAAAACAAAGGGATGGAGAAAGATTTACCAACCAAATGGAGAGCAAAAATAAATAATAAATAAATGAAAAGCAGGAGTTGCAATTCTTGTATCGGATAAAATAGATTTTAAAGCAACAAAGGTATAGTGGTAAAAGGATCAATGCAACAACAAGAGCTAACGATCCTAACACCCAGATAGGAGACTTAGATTCAATGAGACAGAAAATTAATAAGGATATCAAGGACTCGAACTCAGATCCAGAACAAGTAAACTTAATAAATATTTATAGAGCTCTCCACTTCAAATACACAAAATATACATTCTTGTCAATACCACATCACACCTACCCATAAGTTTAAATGAAACATTGATTGGCCATTGTTAATACCCAATTTTTTTCAAAATAAAGCAATATTTCCATTTACTCTCCCTCTTTCTCTTCCTCTTTCTTCCTCTCCTTTACTTATTTTTTTTTTTTCTTTACTTCTCTCAAAAAAAAAAAAAGAAAGCAACTTGTAAACCTCTAGATCCAGGTCGGCAATGTCTCGTTCATTGCTTGATTTTCTTTCTTCCCTTCCCTCCCTCCCTCCCTCCCCGCTTCCTCCCTTCCTTCCTTCCTTCATCCCTTCCTTCCTCCCTACCGTCCTTATTCCCTTCCTTCCTGCCTTCCTCCCCCCCCCCAAAAAAAAAAAAAGAACATTCCATTTGGGGGAGAGGTTGTGATAAGAGATGTCAGCTTAAAGGTTGACAGCATATTGATGATGTTTAAAGCCACAAAGCTGTATGAGGTCACCTGAGGAGGAGAAAATGTAACTATGAGACGGAAGACCGAGGACAACGCTAGAGGCAGTGCCACAGTTTGGAAATCACAGAGATGAGAAGGAATCAGCAAAGACTGAGAAGGAGTAGGTAGTGAAATAGGAGAACCTCTGTGGTATCTCCAAGACTAAGGGAAAGATGTGTTTCAGGAAAGAAGTGATCAGCTATATAGAATACTGCAAAGAAGTTGAGGAAGATGAGTACTTAGAATTGGTTATTGCATTTGTCTAGGGTCATATTGTCAGTTGCCTGTCTCACAGTGTCGAGAGAGTTCCCATGGACATTGTTAAAAACCATAATATGTTTTCAAGAGAGAATGGAAGAAGCAGCATAGATGAATGTGTACAAGTCTTGCAATGAATTTTGTTGTACAAGAGAGAAGAGAAATGGGTAGTACCTGTAGGAGAATACAGGCAATGACACATGTTGGCAAGGATATTGAAAAACTGGAACGCCTGTGCATTGTTAGAGGGAATATAAAATGGTAAAACTGCTATTTAAAAACAGTATGGAGGTTTCTCAAAAAATAGAACTATGATATAATCCAGCAATTCCACATCAGGGAATATATTCAGAGAAAATGAACACAGGGTTTGAAGAGTTATTTGTACATATATGATTATAACAGCACTATTCACAATAGCCAAGTAGTGGAAGCAGCCCACATGTCTGTTCATTCTGGCCCAGCCAGCAATGCCTAGGTAGGCATTGTCCAAAATTGGGTCAGTTCAAAGGAAAAAACAACTCCTCATTCTTGGTTCTAAAGACAAGCTACAGAGTGACTGCTATAAATCTTAATACAACATACAATGGAATATTATTCATCCTTAAAAAGGAAGGAAATTCTGATATATGCTACAACATGTATGAACTTTGAGGGCATTACATTAAGCATAATAAAACTGTCACCAAAAGAGAAATACTGTATGATTCCCCTTATATGAGACAGCTAGAATAGTCAAACTCATAGAAACAGAAAGTAGAATGGTGGTTACCAGGGCTGAGAGAAAAGCGGGTAAAGAAGAATTACTTCATGGGTATAGATTCACATTTGCAAGATGAAAAAGTTCTGGAGATTTGTTTCACAACAGTGTGAATATACTTAACACTACTAAACTGTACACTTGAAATGAGTTTAAATGGTAAATTTTATGTGTTTCTGTAGCAGAATAAAAAGAAAGGAGGGATCTGTTATAGGAGTCATGTATTTGGGTGGATAGGAGGTGAAATCTGTGTACAAGTAGAGGGTGTCAGTTGGGGGTGGGAAGAAGAGAGGTCATCTCTTGTCATATAGCAAGGAATGTAGAGGGAATGGGAACAAGTGCAGGGCAGCTGTAGTTTGGTGGTGCAAGCCAGCGTTGGAAGTGTGAGGAACTTCTCTTCTGGTGGCTTGTTTCCCCAGTTAAACACAAGTTCGTGGGCTGAGAGTAAAGAAGGTGTTGGTGAGGGGGAATTGGGGAAAGAGAAAAGAATGTAAAATAGAAATGTAAGATGAGGGAATGCAAGTACATCACCGAAGGAAACCACAGGGTGATGAGCTGGTGAAGCCATCTGGCCTGGTGTTTTCTCCAGTGCCAGGGCAGGCACAGACTTCTGCATTTGTCCTTAATTAACAGTTACTAAGGCTACTTCAGGATTGACTTGAGCTCCCTACCTCTGAACTTTGTTGTGATATAGGGAATTTGTTTTCACACAAGTGAGGGCTACATTGAGTTTCTTGAGCCTTTCATTCTCACCAATGCCTCATTAACGGGAACATTTTCCTTTGCTGTAGCCTCCTACTAGTCAAAGAAGGCCCAGGGTGAGCGGTGCACCAGGGAAAAATTTATAGCAGTCACTCTGCAGCTTGTCTTGAGAAGCAAAAAATGAGGGGCTGTTTTTTTCCTTTGAGCTGACCCAATTTTGGACAACGCCTAGGCATTGTTAGCTGGGCTAGAGTTTAGGCGTGTGACAAAGAAACACTTGTCTGCCCCATGGTAGACGACTGCCAAGGCAAGCTTGCGTCTTACCTGTCTCTTGCCAGCTGGCTTCTGTGGCCTGCTTGTTATCACCTTATTAGCCGCTGGTCTTAAGCCTTGCACGCCCTTAATACCAGGCTACATCCTACAGGTTAAAGGTCTCATTTCTAGGTTGGAGGGCATTCTTAAGTACCCACCGTCATGCAGCCAGGGATCTTACGCTTCTCATCACAGCTTCATCTTTCTTTGCTAGCAACAGGAATTTAGCCTTTCATAGATCTCTTGTCATGCTTCAAGGGTCCAGGGAAACCTGAAATTATAGGATTTTTGAGCAGAAAGGTAAATCAGAAAGTAGAAATATGACTAGGGTTATAGAAACAATTTAGAGCATCTGGCTTCAGCTAACTCTGACTTTCATAGTTCCTGTAGGACCAGAATAAATGTGTTTTGTTGTGGTATCTGATAGTTGTCAACCCAGGAGCTGAGTATTCTAAACAACAACAAAAAGTAAACAATCTAGACCTTTACTGGTTTAGTCAGTTTTAGGGGCTGAACAATTCCTTTTTCAGACACAATCTAAGAAACCTAACATTTGCTGAGCACGTACTTTATGTCAAGCACAAATCTGAATGCTTTATGAATATTAACTCCTCCACAAATCAGCACTATAGGATTGTGCTGTTATTCCCACTTCACAGATAAATAAATTGAGACACAATTAAATGGTTTAAAAAACATGGCTAACCTCACAACCATCTTGTTTGAGAGCCTTTGCTTTTAATCCCTAATGTCCATATTCTTTCTCAGATCTAACCAATATTTCCCTTGGAGCAGAGAGTGGATAAGTGAATCCATATTCACTAATACTAGATTGTAAAATGCTTTAACAAAGCTCTTACACTGTCCACCCTAATGGAGATACTGATTCTGGAGGAGACTAATAAAAACTAAGAAACTTGAACTCTAACCTCTTGCCGGTTTCCCAAGAATGAATGCATTCAAATTCCTAATGTCAAAAATAGTATTTTTAAAGTGGCAGTCAGGTACAGCTAAGTTGCTACTTCTGAAAGGGAGTGAAGAGTTGCTGGGTCTGTGGATAAAGGAAAGAAAACCAACAGTTACTGTGTGCCTACTACATGTCTGTCCCTGCTAGAGCCTCTGTATGTATTATCTCATTTAGAGCACTTAACAAACCTGAGAGAGAGATTTATCCCTGCTTTACCGATGGGAAAGTCAGGGTTCTTATAGCAGTGTTTTCAATTCTGTGTTGTAAATAATACTGATTTCTGATGTCTTCAAGATGTTCAATTAGAAAGGTGAGGTACTGGGGAGGAGGAGGTAGATTTTGAGGCCAAAATGTTTGGGCAGTGCTAATTTACATCTTACATGCCATCTGTACCACCATTCTCCTCTTCTACCAAGAGTCATGTTATTTTTTCTTAATTGTACTTTAGGTTCTGGGGTACATGTGCAGATTATGCAGGAGCGTTGCACAGGTACATACATGGCAAGGTGGTTTGCTGCCTCCATGCCCCTGAGTCATGGTATATTAAAAGGCTTTGAGAAGTCCTTCAAAAAAGAAGGGCGCGGTGGCTCAAGCCTGTAATCCCAGCACTTTGGGAGGCCGAGGCGGGTGGGTCACGAGGTCAAGAGATCAAGACCATCCTGGTCAACATAGTGAAACCCCGTCTCTACTAAAACTACAAAAAATTAGCTGGGCATGGTGGCGCGTGCCTGTAATCCCAGCTGCTCAGGAGGCTGAGGCAGGAGAATTGCCTGAACCCAGGGGGGCGGAGGTTGCAGTGAGCCAAGATCGTACCATTGCACTCCAGCCTGGGTAACAAGAGCGAAACTCCGTCCCAAAAAAAAAAAAAAAAAAAAACCTATTTAAATTAGTTTAACTAGTATTTCCCAAACATATCTGATCATAAAACACCTTTAGTGGGGCACCTTGCAAAATGCTGTTGTTCAGATCATGGTTTTTGAAATCACAATCTTAGAGTAAATAACTTGCCTAAGGTCTCATGGCTAGTCAGGAATGAAGCCCTGTCTGCATGTCCCCACAACCTAAACTCTCACTCCTACAGACACTTTGAAAGTATGGAAATTCACACGCTGTGAGTCAGACATTGCTATGACTCAAGTAGAAAAGTTTCTGCTTCTAACAGGTCTTCACCCTTTGTACTTTCAGTCTGTATATCATTTCTAGATTGTTTTGGCTTGACTCAGTGGTGTTCCTGGCCACATAAGGAAAAGATGTGTTAATCAGCCATAAACAATTCCTATGAATAGGACCATTTGCCCACTGATCTTTCCCCTTAAAATCACTTAGCTCTCCTAGGATTTACACTGTTTCAGAAAGTACAGACTAAACTTGGGCACTTTCCACATGGCTTTCATAGGGTGGCCAATGGTGTGAGAACTTGAGTTTATTAGCATGTCGTGCATTATTTCCCATCACTGACAAGTAGCTCCTCACAGATGGTGGAATATTTTTCTCCTATGTGTCAGCATCTAGACCTGCACCTCCAACGTGTTGGCTACATTGAATGTAATTAAAACTAGGCCACACATGGTGGATCACTTGAGATCAGGAGTTTGAGACCAGCCTGGCCAACATGCTAAAACCCCGTCTCTACTAAAAATTACAAAAAATTAGCTGGATGTGGTGCTACCCACCTGTAGTCCTAGCTACTTGGGAGGCTGAGGCACGAGAATTGCTTGAACCCTGGGGGTGGAAGTTCCAGTGAGCCAAGATTGTGCCACTGCATTCCAGCCTGGGCGGCAGAGCAAAAAACAGTTTAAAAAAATAAAATAAATGAAAATTAATTTAATTAAAATTAAATGGAATTTAAAGGTCAGTTCTTCAGTCACAATAGCCACATTTAAAGTGCTCAATGCTACACATGACTAGTGGCTACTATATTCGTACAAATATAGACATTTCCAACATTTCAGAAAGTTCTACTGAATGGTGCTGGAGACATTAACACTGCTGTTTTAAAACAGCCAACACAGGAGGTTATCCAGCTGTTTGTATCATGTACTGCTACCCTGTCATTTCACCCATTTCTCCTTCTTAGGTCTTAAGTTGAGGTGGCCATATTTGCCTTGTCAAATCTAGTGTTTTCAAATGTTGTAACTAATGTATGCCCCCTCTAATTCTCTCTACTCTGAAATAATTTAGAATTAACATAATTCACAGGGGTGTACCATATCAAATTCCCAAGCTACCCTGTCAGTAGATACCTTCCTACTATAGTTACGTATCAACCATATTGATACTCAGGAGTATCTGCTTCAACCAAGAAAAGCTCCCTTCTTTTCCCATATGAAATCCGCCTTTTATTTAAGCATTCCTGATAATTTATAATCTCAGTTGCCATTAGATGTCCTGATGACTACTGAATATAATATCAAGCAAGGCTTATTTCTTGCTTTTCTCTTTCCAAGATAGTCATCAAGAGGTAACTTGAAAGGAGTGATCTAAAAGGAATTGGTAGTATAATAAGACCACTGAGCAGTTAGCTGTACACTGTGTGTACACCAAGAGATTGGATAAAATCCTCTGAGGAGTGGGAGAATACAGAAAGAATCTGGACCATTCGATCCTTAGATTGAACTTCAAAATGCCTTTTATCAGAAGGTTCTCATTCATTTTTAGAAATCCAACAAATTAGACATTTGCCTAGAACATACTTACAAGCCAGTCCTCAGTTCTTCAATGTATTTTCTCTTCCTTCTATATTTTCCAAATTCTACTGTTGTAAATTTTTTTTCAAATGTCAGATTTTGAATACCCAACCCAAATACCTATTTTCATCCTAATATAAACATTGAAACAAGTATGTGTTTCACCATTTCTGCCCTCCACATCTCACTAGAAAGCTGGTAATTTTTTATATAGCCTTACAGCTATCTGGAATTATAATTCTGAACATTTGATTTAGCATCCATAGAAAATGTTTGTTCCTCATTTTCAGCTCCTCCAAAGGCTCTTCAAATTTAACTCCCAGCAAAGAAATCTGTTAGATGGTCCTCTCCTTCCTAGGATCTTAAAGGATGAAACTTACCCCAGAGCCATCCTAGTTTTCCATGCCCTTGAGATAACATCTTACACACCCCATAGATGACATAGTCCATGTGTATCACTACACAGCAAAGAAGAATATTCTCTGAGAACTATTCTCTAGCTAGGCGGTATATAGAAGAACCACCTGGAGAGCAGATGTCCCTTCAACTACAAAGAAGCCACATATTTGTTGAGCCAAACAGAATCCTCTGCCCGCTAATATAAAATTCACTTAAGGACTCAAACATCATAGCTGCACTCTTCAGAAGTGTAATCTCCAGTTTTCCCCTGCATCGGAGGAGTGCCTCCAGGCCCTACCAGGAGCCTGAATCTGGGTCTCTGAGCACACCAACCACCTCCCCTGGGCCTCACCACATGCTTTTGATACAGTTCTGTTGCTCTTTACTCTAACAGCTGATGGGAAACAGTGGTTTCCAGTCCTTGGAGAAACTCCACTTTCAACATCAAGTGATCAGTAGTAACCACAAGGGATAAAGGCCCAGATCTCACATGTTGGGAATTTTGTAAGGATGGTATAATCTGTTATGTACAAATCTCTTACAACAGTGCCTAGCGCAGAAGCACAATGAATTTACTATAATTTATTAGCAGGATCACGTATAGAAACAAATTAGCCAAGTTTATTTATTATAAGATACTTAGAAGGTGATAGGGAACCCTATTAACAGGAGAATTATATATTTTTTCAAGGTAACTTTGTGTGTATTTTTTAAAAATCAGAATGGTTTGCAGCATGTACCATCTGCTAACCTTAATGTTTTTAATAGGAAGACTTCTTTTTAAATTAAAAATATTTGAAATACCACTCATATCCAGGAGACATCAAGAAATGTACTCAGAATGAGTATTTTGACTGGTGGATAGCTAAATGGTGGGAAGTGCATTACTTGGTTCTGTCAGCAAGGCATCGTTTTTGTTTTGTTTTTTGCATTATACTTTAAGTTCTGGGATACCTGTCCAGAACGTGCAGGTTTGTTACATAGGTATACATGTGTTATGGTGGTTTGCCACACCCATCAACCCATCATCTGCATTAGCTATTTCTCCTAATGTTATCCCTCCCCTAGTCCCCCACTCCTTGACAGGCCTCGTTGTGTGATGTTCGCCTCCCTGTGTCCATGTGTTCTCACTGTTCAACTCCACTTATGAGTTAGAACATGTGATGTTTGGTTTTCTGTTCTTGTGTTAGTCTGCTGAGAATGATGGCTTCCAGCTTC